CATAACGGTCATGGACTCTGCCATTCTTGACGAAAATGGGAACACCATTGCGCATTGAGCCACTGAATCGAAGAGTGCCATCGACAAAGTCACCAAGATGTGAGATGTCGGGCATGAAGAAGGAGCGAGCATTGCTTTCGTTGTGTGAAGGGCTGGCAATAGAGGCGGGTGAAGGAGGAACAGCGGTCAAGCTGGACTTGGCTGAAGACATGTGTGGTGAAGACTTGTTTTGCTGATTTTGATCTCGAAGCTCGGGGCTCTTTGCACTGCTGCGTAGACGGTCAAATGCCTCGGAGATGGTCTCTCGCCGTTGTTGTTCTTGTGCGGCCATTGATTCGGATGAGGTTCGCTGGTGGACCTTGGACAATGGACTAGGGTTATGTGTGTTCTTCTTCCAAGAGTGGTAAGAAAGGGCTCGGTTAGGAGACTTGGAGAGGATCGAAGACAGGTCGGACTCGTTATCAACGCGAGGCTGCATCTCAGCACGCGTTCTAGCGGAACCTTGCCAGGTGTCTTGTGTGATGTCGTCAATGGCGAACTTGATTCCAGAGGCAGGAGGCTTGTTCTCCTTTGACTCGGCACTCATAGGCCGAGTGTCAGTGTTATCGTCGTAAACAGGCACCTCGCGGGTCTTGGGCATGCCAAAGAACTCGGGCCACTTGCGATGGGCAGCCTCCCAGTTGACGGGGAGGTTGCGAGGTGCAGTGACACGAGCAATATCCTCGTTAAGTCTTCTTGTGGACTCGCCGTCGGGGTCGGAGAAGACTGAAGACAGCGTAGGGCTGACGGTGCCGTGAGAGCCAGTTGATGAGGGTGGTGAGTTGAAAGGGTTGTCGCGGTTTGCTTTCATTTCTCTAAGAATGCGGGATCGATATCTGCTTGCGGCGTCGACCTCCATTGCTCCTTCTCACGCGCTGTGGGCGTGTATTTGTATTTGGTGAAGAGCTTGGAAATTAGACGATGTTAGGCGAGGATGCTATAGCACCCGTGGCGCGTATAGTTATGGGAAAACGGCGTGTTCGTTTGGTCAGGGGTTTGAGAAGAAGTCAATGCTATGTCGACTTGTATGTGGGATACATCTGTTAGGCAGGACGCGACGTGGAAGAAGAGAAGATGCCTAATATGAAGATGTAGGAATAGAAAAGTGACAATGTTTTGGTGGAGAGAAAGAGAGGCCTGCTGAAGTATGCACCTATGAAGCTGTGTGTGTTTAGAGACGGGAAACAAGAGGCCGGGGTCTTGACTGTTTTTGGGCGAAAGTAAACAAAGCGCCTCGAGACCCACTCCCGCAACTGTTACCAGCCACTCGAGGTTGGGATTCAATTCACGCTGTTTAGAACCGCTAAGGCCCTGAGCGCGTGATGTGATTGGATGAGCCCAACTGTCGAACCAAAAGCCCTGTCTTCCATCGCGGGGCCGTTTTGGGTTAACGATGCTGCAGGTGCACAGCGCGCGTCAAGTTTTAGGTTACAGGACGTTTTCTTGCATGAGCTTAACCTAGAGTTTGATATGTAAAGGTTCAGAACCAACTGGATCTTACTGAGGCATGGCTACCTAATTAGGTAGGTATTAAAGACTGAAGACTGCATCTCAGGTTGAGTATATCAATCACTGTAGTCATATTATCTTGTGGCACTGTGATTATAATCACACATCAAACTCTTATCTTGCATTATGAGAAGTGAGGAAGACCTCTATCCTAAGCGACAAAAAGCCTTAGGTAAACTTAGTGTAATCTAGTCTAGGGGAGAAAAGAAATATAAAACCTTAACCCTAAGCAATACAAATTTAGCCTAAGTTTAGGGGATCTTTGATAAGTTTATTTTGACACCCTAGATTGAGGTCCAGTATTTTCTTGCTCCCCGAGGCTAGTATAGATTTAAAGGATCTTATAGACTGAGTATTTTAGCACCGTGGTGGGGCAGATCGTCCGTTGTGTTGCACTGTCAGTGTCAGTCTCTGTCTGATATGTACCTCGAGATACCTTAACTTCCATTGCTTTAATCTGGACTTGACATCGTCTCGAGTTCCTGCGTCTTTTTCACTTTTTCCTTCTTTCGATTCTCCTTACACATATTTTACTCGGTTCTTCCTTCTCCTCGTGAGACTGCATTGGCCTTTCTGAACATACTTAGCTTATCTCATTCTTGATCTACTCCGAAATCGCATAGCCACAGTTCATGAGATGGGCAGCTCTATTTCATGAGCATTACGAGGCTTCACTAGAGGATTATTTTTTCCCCGTCTACCGCCGAAAAAAACTCAAAATCTTGCTTCTAGGTGCCCGAATCACCACCTATTGTAGCTGCCATGGCCTGGCTCAAAATCATCGCTGGTATCGCTGGCTTGCTCATCTTCATCCAGCCCACATCAGCTGCACCCAGCCGTGAGGGCGCTCACAAAGAGTACTGCCCCGTTCTCTACAACGCGCCACCTACCAACTGCCGTCCTCTTCCTGATACATTTTTGACCTTCTCCTCCAAGCCTTCTGATTCGCCTCCAGCAGACAGCCAGATTCTTGAGGATGCTCTCAGTGCTCTTTCAGCTCTTCAAGACCACTTCTTTGAACCGGACTACGCAACATGGCCATCTGCCATAGACTGGACTGCTGCTGTCGCAGGAACAGTCGTGGCTGGAATGCTCACCACTTTGTCTAAAGCTATCGATTCGGTCGACCTCGCTGGTATTGATGATTGGAGGGTGAAAGAGAACATCATCGCGACTTTCTATGCGCAGCTTGTGGGCTCGTACTTTGGACAAGATGTGCTGTCAATCAGAGGCCAGGTAAGTCGACTCCTGCGAGAAACGAAGCTTTTCGTCTTATTTACATTTGACGCAGGCTTACGACGACATATTATGGGTCACTCTTGGCTGGATCGAGGCCATCAAATTCGTGAGAACTCACGCTGATCTTCACTACCCCAAGATAAAATCCAAGGGGATTTCCGAGAGAAGTAATCTGAGAGAAGTCATCGAATCTATGCCGTGGCAGGGCTACAACTGGTTCTCATCTTTTGCGCACCGCTCTCGCATCTTCTGGAACCTGGCAACTCACGGATGGGAGACAAAGTTCTGCAATGGAGGCATGGTATGGAACCCTCGCTTGAACCCGTACAAAAACGCCATCACGAATGAGCTATGGGTGGCCGCCTCGATCTCCATGTACGAGCACTTTCCTGGTGACAACTTCACTGCGCCATGGCTGAACAGTGCTGTATTCCCGGGTAACGACCCTGCACATCTGGAGGCCGCCATGCGAGGGTACAAGTGGCTCATCGATGTCAACATGACCAACTCCCTGGGTCTATTTGTGGACGGATATCACATCGATAGTACCAAACCCGGTAACACGAAGTGCGATCTTCGAGACGAGATGGTGTACACGTACAACCAAGGTGTCTTGCTAACGGGCCAACGAGGTCTCTGGTCCGTCAGCGGAAGCGCATCGTATCTGGAAGACGGGCATCGTCTGATCCAGTCCGTCATCAGAGCTACGGGATGGAATCTGAAAGAGAATAAGCCCGTCGATGACCTGAAACATTTGGGTCCCGGCCAGTTGCCTCCATGGTATGGACTGGGCCGAGGAGGCATCCTGGAAGAGCAGTGCGATGCTAGTAGCACCTGCTCCCAGGACGGCCAGACTTTCAAGGGCATCTTCTTCCATCACTTCACAGCATTCTGCAGCCCTCTTGAACCTCTAGTCGCCAAGCAAGGCAGAACGATCGACCCCCGTGGATACCGACGCGTGAAAGGCATTCACGCAGATGCATGCCAGTCGTACCTGGGCTGGGTCAAACACAATGCACATGCAGCTCTGAAGACTCGCAATGATGATGGACTCTTTGGCATGTGGTGGGGAGCTGGCATCTATGGTGCTCTCCCAACACTGGATACCGACGGTATCGACCACGCTGCAGAGAACGCAACCGACTACCGGAACCAAGGAACGCCTGATGACGAAACTTGGGGTGGCCTTCACCGATGGACTCCAGGTACAGGACACTGGTCACCATCGAGGCCGAAGTCTGACCAGCATGTTATGGACAGTGTTGGGGAAGATCTTGTACATCGCGGCGGAAGACATTCAGCTCGAGAGGTGAAGATGAAAAGGCAGGACCCCAATGAACGGGGCCGTGGCCGGACTGTTGAGACACAAGTTGGAGGGATTGCGCTGCTTAGAGCGTATTGGGAACTTTCCCGATCATTTGAACGATGACGATTTCATGTTTATGATTGATAAAATGCGTTTATAGAGTAGACTGACTGCATAGACTGCGATAGAATGAATGATGACCATCTGAACGTGTTTACGTTCATAACCTTCCAATATACCCCTCTAAGATGAGTGATTACCGGTAGTGCCCTTCTTCGATCTGAAATCTTGACCATCAAAATCATCCTATGTCATGATACACGAGCAAAGTGATATAACATGGTCGCATTCCGATTGAGGAAAACGGCAGATCGGCTTCCCAGAAGCGAGTGCGAATACTACGTAGGAGATAAGCGACGCCAGCCTTCGGGGAGCAAGAAAACACCGGACCTTGATCTAGGGTGCCAAAATAAACTCATCAAAAATCCCGCTTAACTTAGGCTAAATTTACCTAAATATTTTTATTACTTAGGGTTAAGGTTTTATGTTTTCTTTCCTCCCCTAGGCCAGATTGGTTGTGACAATCATCACGACAGTGACGCTAAGCCCTGTTTGGAGATTCATTCGATGTGTTAGTACGTCAGCGGTTGCTGCGCATTCGCATTAGAAGCTGCGCCATGGAATATCGAATGAATCGACAATTCGGGAATGGCTTCAATTGAGAGGGAGCAACATCTTAAAAGTTATAAGAAGCCATGGATAGTCGTAGGAAGAAGAACATTCTCATCATCCAACAGACATCACATAACTCTAATACACACAAGACACAACTACCCTACATACCAGACTTTATAGTCAAACAACACACTCAATCGCACAATACTCTTCATCCTCAATTACACTCATCATGGGTCTCATCGGTCTTACAATCAGCGCTATAATGAGCGCTACAGACTCCTCCAAGCAGCCTCGCTCAAGTGGGTGCTGTGGAAGTCGGAAGCAACAAGCCTATCTCGTCCAACAACCTCAACTTATGGGCCCCAACCCCGATTACATGGCCATGAACACTGGTCGATCTTCATGCTACCAACGCAAGACGGAGCGTCGATATCAGAAAAAGATGCAGCGTGTTGAGCGCATGCAACTCCGAGCCGAACAGCGAGCAGAGAGAGATTATCAGCGAGCTGAGAGACGACAAGCGGGTGTTGCCATGGTCAAGTCAGGAGCACAAAAGATTGGCATGATTGGTAGCAGCTCGAGTCAGAATGTTCGTGAAACAAGGGACTTTCATGAAGAGCCTAACAATGGCGTCTACGAGTTGGATGCCATCAACCAACGACATGTTGAGAAGGATGCACCACCTGCATACGACGATGTGGTGAGGAAGTAAAAGAATGGGAGGCTGTGCTTTAGAGTTGGAGTTGGAGTTGGTACATGAAAATTATGATTAGAGCGATATTCGAATTTGAGAATACGATAAATAAATTGCTTTTCGCAGTACAAGACCATCGCATTGTCCAAAACGCCCTTCACTAACACGCAGGGCACGCCCTGAAATAGACAAATACATGAGCTGTGGTTGGAACTTGGTGGTGCATCAGGTACAACCTCCGATGTCGAACCCCGCGGGCTGTATTCTAGCCCCTCCATTGGGGGTAAACATTCACTAAATTGTACGCAGTATTTCAGGGTCTTTGCAAGTGACTGTTCTATTTGATGCCTCTAATCTCTATATATCAGGCCACTATCCCTTTTACATGCTCAATTCTGAGCAATTTCACTGTACAACATGGCACGACAATCGGCGTTGGATCGGCCTTCAACGGTCTCGGTGAGTCCGCCCAAGCAACATCCGCACCCGCCGTATACTTCTTATCTCGCTGAGAATCCCCCACAATTCTACGTCACCCCTGTGCTAATTGACTCACAGCTGGTGTCCAACAAAAATTCAGGTCCGGTCGTTCGGCGGCGGTGACTAGAGAAAGAAGGACTAAATGATATTTACCTTTTCCTCACTCCAACCTTTGTTCCCTCCTCCTCACACATTCTCTTTCACCTATTCCCTCACGATGCCTTCAGCTCACGATCCCATCGTTGCGGTGCCCGTTAACGGCGCCGTGAATGGCACTACCAATGGCACAAACGGCGACTTTCACTCTCGGCCGCATACGCCGATGACCGGAATGGCGTTGACAGAGTACAGCGCCAATCCGTCTACACCGTCGGAGGAGAAGCGGGCGCGCATTAAGGAGATTGTGCCCGACGAGTATCTTCTTCCGACAGGTTACCCGGATGTGAGAATAATCCCTCCTCAACTAATACCAACTGCGAAGCTGACAGTCTCACTCAGTACCTTCGTCTTATCGCCAGTGCCACATCCCGAGTCTACGAGGCCTGCAAGGTCACTCCTCTCACACACGCCATCAACCTCAGCAACCGACTCGAATGCAATGTCCTCCTCAAGCGTGAAGACGAGCAACCCGTATTCAGCTTCAAGCTGCGCGGCGCTTACAACAAGATGGCCCATCTCGACCCGAAGAAGAGCTGGAAGGGTGTTGTGTGCTGTTCTGCTGGTAACCACGCCCAGGGTGTCGCTTTCTCGGCCCGCAAGCTCAAGATCCCTGCGACCATTGTCATGCCCGAAGCGACTCCTAGTATCAAGCACTTGAATGTTGCTCGTTTGGGCGGCCATGTTGTGTTGCATGGCGCTGACTTCGATGCGGCCAAGGAGGAGTGCGCGAGAAGAGAGGTGCAAGATGGTCTTATCAACATCCCTCCCTTCGACGATCCCTATGTTATCGCTGGTCAGGGAACCATTGGAAACGAATTGTTTGGCCAGGTCAACATGGCCAAGGTAGAGGCCATTTTCTGCGGTGTCGGCGGTGGTGGTCTCATTGCCGGAATTGGTCTGTACGTCAAGCGCATGGCTCCTCATGTCAAGATCATCGGTGTTGAGGCCCACGACGCCAACGCCATGGCGCAATCGTTGAAGGCTGGAGAGCGGGTGTTGCTCAAGGAGGTCGGCCTGTTCGCAGATGGTGCTGCCGTCAAGATTCCTGGAGAGGAGACATTCCGCATCTGCAAGGAGGTTATCGACGACGTTGTTGAAGTGACAACCGACGAGATCTGCGCAGCTATCAAGGACATGTACGACGACACCCGATCCGGCCTTGAGCCTGCTGGAGCCCTCTCCATCGCCGGTCTCAAGAAATACGTTTCTCAGAACCCGTCGAATGACTCAAAGCGCAACCTCATTGCCATCACATCAGGCGCCAACATGAACTTTGACCGGCTGAGATTCGTTGCTGAGCGTGCCACCATGGGTGAGGGTAAGGAGGCTTTGCTTGCCGTGCAGATCCCCGAACAGCCTGGAGCGTTCTCCGAGCTCATCAACAACATCATGCCTCACGCTGTTACCGAGTTTACCTACCGATACTCGACAGACGAAGTCGCCAACGTTCTCATCGGTGTGTCTCTGACTGCTCCCGCCCATCAGCGCTCAGAGGAACTCCGCTCTCTCATGGACCGTATCCAATCCAACAACATGAGCGTAACCGATCTATCACAAGATGAACTCGCAAAGAGTCACATTCGATACCTCGTCGGTGGTCGATCCGGGGTACCCAACGAGCGATTATACATGTTCACCTTCCCCGAGAGACCTGGAGCTCTCGAGAAGTTCCTCGTGACACTTCGGCCCAAGTTCAACATCAGCCTCTTCCAGTACCGTAACTACGGAGGTGACGTGGGCAAGATTGTTACTGGCATCTTGTGTCCTGACGACGAGGTTCCTGAGCTGGAGTCATTTTTGCGCAAGATCGGATACCCCTATGAAGACTGCACCAACTCGCAAGTGTTCAAGACATTCCTGCGAACTTAGAGCGAATTGACGAGAAAGACATGCATATCTGGGTCGTGTAACATTCGGCGTTGGGTTCATAAAATGTGATGTTTAGTTCTGTAAAAGACGGATGTTGTTATTTGGGTCACAGATTTAGCGAATTTGAACGAAACGATGTAGACTGGAACTATGCACATGGGACATGCAATATAGAAATGGACTGAAGAGAACAACTGAGCTGATTTGTCTGAAGCTGTATTGCCGAGGTTGTGAAAGTGCTGTGATGCATTATACCGTGAATATGCGGGGATGTCCGTCGCCCATGTCCAGTTGCAATAATGTCGTATCCGCTTCAGGGGCATGCTCTTGTACTTGCAGTCGAGTCCATTGCCCGTCCCAGTGGCAATCGAGGTACCCTTTGATGGGTACGCAGACCATGTGCTCACCACTGTCGTTGTGATGATGCTCATCTCTATCGCTGGAGCATTCAACCCTGGAACCTTGATGTGCTGTGCATTCATTCTGCTCCCGTGATTCAGACCTTTCGTTGGAACAATCGTCATCACCGTCACAGCAATGAGCCTGCATCGTATCGCTGTAGCAAATCCTCGTGGGATTTATGTAGATTGTTACTCTGTCAATTCCCATCCGGCACTGACCAACAGCTCTGTGGGCCCCATCCTCGTATTCAGACAGCATGCCTCTGCATAAACATGGTTTTGCAAGTAAATATATCAATCCGGGTGGTCCCCTGGAGAGGTACCTGGGTTTGGAGAAGAGTACAACGGCAACTGTGGGTTATTGTTGTCGATGTTGTGCGAGGGAATCGACGCATGGAGTCTGCGTTAGGTTCAGTTGAACTTGCTGCCACCGCGAGAAGCATTTGTTCATCGCCAGGAGCAGGCATATCATATACGAAAAACTCTGGTATGATATTGCAGGTGTGATCCTTAACGAGGACAAGAGTCAAGTCAGGGTGGGCGGGCCTGGGGCGAGGGCCGATGATAATATCACCAGCAAGTTTAGTGCGAATCTTGTTCGATCAGCTATCATGACTTGCACCTCGTGATGATGAGACTTACCAGAATAGAGGGTGAACAAAACACATCATCCATGCCACTTGATCGTATACCTAATCCGATAAGCTGATCATTAGGTGCGATAGGAACATATGCCCATGCCACATGCTTTCTATCCTGCTCGGGCAAACGGGCGTATGTCGTCAACGCAGTTGGGAAGCGAGGCGTATGAGAATGAACAGCTCGCAGAGAAGACCCAACGTAGAAGAAGGTGAGGCCCCTGGTGCTGCGCAAGTCCAGTGTGCGCAAACGCATATCACCTAAGTTCGTGTTATGACACGGGGCGAAGATTGACAACCTGCCTCCCAGAGGAGGACTTGGTGTATCCCACATGACTGTCTTGAAATTGCACAGTCCGATACGAGCTGCCCCAAGCTAAGTCAACGGTCAGCATTTCGAAATAATCATGACAAGAGGTTGTGCCACTTACTCTGAAATCAACAGAACTTCTCATTGCTGCTTCACGCGGTATCAGAGCGAATGCAAGGCTTTCACTCCGCCAATCTATGTAGGGAGGAATACCAGAGATTCTTTCAATCTTGCGTATACCCCGGCGATCTGTCGTGATTCGGATACCCCAATCCCCAGCAGTGCCGTCACTCATCACAGGTGCACTCTCGCCCCTGGTCCAAGACTCGACTTTGTCAAGCGCACACGACAGGGGGTCATCTTGGTCAGCTGCGGATGAAAATGTCTCTGCAAGATCCTTGACAGCCAAGTAAGCCCAGACCTCACTGTTAAGAGACATGGACTTGATATCTTGGACAAGGGTCGGGGGCAGCAGAGCCAGCTGTGGCATTCCCAACGATTCGGCAACAGAGGGGCTCACAGATACGATGCTGTTGTCTTCCAACTTAAAGCCATGTTTTGGATTGAGGTCATGCCTCCAGGGGTGTCTCCATTCCGTGGCAATCCACACCGCGTTGAGGGGATTATCGTGCATGTAATGCCGAAAGAAGAGTTGGTAACAGGAAGCATGCATAGTTACAGAATCCTGTGACCGAAAACATTCAACTTCCCGGCATAGAGGCCACTTCTCTCCCTCAGGTTGAAACTCCCCCTCGCCGGCGGGAAATCTGAATAACTTGGTGCAATATGAAGGGCGAAGATGGGTTTCGCACGTTACTATAAGGTGGTTGATGTATCAGCGTAGCAATAGCAGTCCATAAGGTATCTCTCACGACACATACAGGCAATGGCCAAATCATCTGGTGTCATATCGAGAAGGCAGAGATCGCATTGGTTCTGCAGGCAGATGTGCCTTTCATCATCCTAGTCGTCTTGGATATAACCCTCATACAGAGCACCCTCATAACCCGCAGATTCCCATCTATCAGTCCTATCGTTCAAATTACCGGGGGATTGAGGTGCATCGGACATGGCGTGACTGTTCTGAGATAGAAGACTTTATTACAAAAAATGGTAGGAAAAATAGGAATTCTTGTATTTCGTTGCAAATATGAAATTTGTATGTTGGGAAAGGGGCCGAATGAAGATGAAAGAAAGTTTGCATAGTAAACAATAATGATATCGTTTGTTTGAGAATAGTAGTGCCTCCGAGATGATTCGTCAAAAGATAAGAAGAGCATTGATCTTGAGAAGAGAGAAACGAATACTCCAGTGTTAAACCCAATCCTACTCGACCGCTATAAACTCTCGAGACCTGGGAGTGTATGTATACAGGTCGCTTGTTACATCGTCACACCAAACCTTGGCGTACAGTCCGAGATCTGAACATTTCCACGGCCCGTTACCAAAACCATGACCATAATGTTCAATACCCGTATCCGAGCCACATACAACTGTATAGTGTTTGTTCTCATCAAGAGCATCCCCATAAACCGTGCGGTAGCAGAATGAAACGGGCCTGTGATAAACGGTGACCTCGTCAACTCCTACTCTGCATTGCCCTGCAGACCTCTGTGCGCCGTTCTTATACTCAAGAAGAAAACCTCTCATGTATCCAGTGGACCTTTCATTGAAAATATCAATTCTGACAGCGTCTTTCAGTGGAATGTCCACTGTAATAGCGGCACCCCCATTAATCAACTGATCAATCGAGAGAGAGATGATGGGAAATCTAGGGGCTCGCAGCGTCTCTTGAGTTTCGTCACCGGCTAAGCCTAACAGTGTAATCCCCCCCTTTGCTGGCGTATTGTGGAAGAGAACAGTGGGTGTTCCTTTGAAGAAGAAATTCCTATCTTCATCATTGAAATTTGGACCGAGAGAGAAGTCACCAGCCAGCTTCGTGGTCATCTAGGCACCTGATTAGTATCAAGAAGCCACATCATGATTCATAAACCGGAACTAACCAACAAAGCCATATGATGGGCCGCCGGTTCCTCGCGGTCATTTCTCCAACTCCGCAGGCCAAACCTCATGATACGATCACCATGTGCTATGGGCATGTATATCCAGACTAGATTAGGTTCATAATCTGGAAGAATGTCCTTAACAGTAGTCAACGCTGTGGGGTCTTCAAGGGTGTGAGCATGGAGTCCCATCAAAGTGCCCCTGTAGTAAAAGAAGGTAATGCCAGTAATATTGCGTAGATCGAGGGTGCGAATGCAAGTAGCATCTGTACGACGTGGTACTAAGAGAACCTTAAGCCCTTTCGTGGACGGACCTGGCGGACTTGGTATGTCCCAAAGTTGAACAGGTCTTGACAATGAGGGACTCAGTTTCATCCGCGCTTTTCCAAACTGTTTCCCCAATGTCAGTAGCGCTACAAGACAGGAAATGATGCAAGATGGAGGACTTACTCTGAAGTATACCCAAGTACGTTCCGCTTCCTTAGAATCGATAAAGAGATACTTGTAGGAGGTTTGGTATCGACAGCTCCTATACTCGGGCCAGTCAGGTAGTCTCTCTATGCCGAGTAGCCCATGGGAATCAAGGATGAGCCGGAACACAAAAGACTCGGGTGAATCCTCATCGAACTCTGCATCCTGCCCTCGATGCCATTTCTTCACAGTACCGAGATTGTACTGCATGTCATCATCGTCCTTGGATATGCTCTCATCAAAAATTGATAATTCCTCGGCTCTGGTTCTGATAACCAGATACTTCCAGAGAATACTCTCGCGCGAATAGGCTGCTATGAGCTGAAGAACCTCAGATGGCAAGGTTGCCAGTTGCGGCATACCCAAGGCTTCTGCAGTGGAAGAACTAATTGAAACCAGCCCGTGTTCAATAAACCCAATGTGTGGCATGGATTGAGAAGAGCGTACAACCCACGAGATTCTCCAGGCTGCAGCAACCCAAACGCGTTCCAAGGCCGGCTTGTCGTGATACGTCTGCAAGAAAAAGCAATAACATTCCGAATGCATTGTAACTGACTCGGGTGATCCCTTGCAGTCTCGACAATGCTCTCCATTGCACAAGGGGAATAAACCACCCTTTACTGTGATTCCTCGTTCCTTAGGGAATCGGAATCTCTTTGTGCAATAACCAGGACGAGTACCATGGCGGTGACCTTGGCTATTGAGCACTATATCAGATGTCAATAACACAGAAGACTGGCCTCGGCAAGAAGGGATTTGAGGTATGAGAGTCTTACATGCTATAGCCCATTCGTACGGGGCGATGACCTGAGAACAAAGGCCACATATTGATCTGATAGCGACATGCACTACGTCCCATTCTAATGTATCTTCATCAGACTCAACGATCTTCGATTTCATCTCTGGTTGCGAATCACCTGAACCATCAACGTCCGACATTTCGCTTTGCTTGCTGAGATCTGATCGATGAGAGAACAAAATGCGGTGTGCAACCGTGATGATGGAAGAACAAGGTTGATCATACAGCAGAAGCAGAGGGTGTGGATGTGATGTAGTTGGTAACACTGCGTATTGCATTACAAGGATCTCAGTGCCAACATCCAATGAGATTGGGTGGCTGATATGTCTGAGACCATATGGCCATGCACCTAGGGAGTATTGAAACAATCCGGATAGATTAACATTGCTTCTCTTGATGCAGTCTGTAAAACATCGATACGCTCACTCTTCAAGCTAATAATATGAGTCCAGATCAGCCATTCTATGATCACACGCGAACTCGAGAGTCCCCTCCATGCGAGTACATGTCCAGTGAGAGAACATACCCCTTTCACTATGGTCATGACTATCCGAACCGGTGCTGCATTCGACTTTACACTGCCTAATCCGATCGAAGGGTTTGTCGTCGAAGCTGTGGGAATAGCAAAGCCATTTTGGTTTATCACAAGACTTGAAGGGGTCAATCCCGACTCGGCATTGGCCCAACGCCCTCTGAGCGCCGTTGGCGTATTCAAGGAGGAGTCCCCTGCAGTATCCGCTGGCCTCCTCGTAATAGACATCGACGTGAACAACGTCCTTTGCGGAGGCCTCGAAATGAAGGCGGCCACGATATGGGGGACACTCTCCTGAGGGAAGAATCCGGGGGAATGGTGCTGAAGGTTCGTCACCCTTCTTGTCACTTACTGCTCCATATATACTGTGGCCTCTTTTATGCGGAACATTGTACACAAACACGGTCGGCTCCTTTCCTGACAAGTATTCTTTCTTGGAAGGTCCATAATCAGGACCCAGCACGAAATCACCGGCGAGCTTGGTTGATATCTGTTGACGTGAGCATTGGGACTAAAGATGATGCTTTAGTCAGAGACTCACCAGCACTGTCGGTTTCAAAAACGTCGGAGGTAGATATACCTCCAAACTGTCGCGTACACCAATCCTCAGAAGACGGTCTTTACTCGAGATCGGTACATACGCCCACATCAAGTACTTCGGATCTATTGCCGAAATTTCATCCAAAGTGGCTTTCGCTGTCGGCCGTGTGAGCGTGAACCCCCATTATATAACCTCTGAAGTAGAGGAACGTCAGACCAGTGATATTACAAAGATCTACCGTCCGGTAACGGACAGAACCACGGCGGTCAATTGGTACAGCAAACATGCTCAGCCCATTCTTTGGAGGGGTTGGCGTGTCCCAAAACTCTTCGAACCCATATCGCGAAGACCTTCTCAGGAAGGCTCGTCCAAACTAACCTGAGCATTGCCCGGGGGGGGGGGGGCCTTTGACCATACCTTGAAATCAACATGTGAGTCTGCTGCTCGCAGGGGCACAATGAAGAGATACGCACGAGCATTAGACCGAATCGGACTATACTCAGGCCATCTCTCCAGCTTCTCAATTTGACTGAGGCCATCGCGATCAACAGTTAGTTTAAGAACAAATTCTTTCAATTCGCCTTTATCGCAGACAACTGGTTGTCCACGTTGCCATGACTTGATGCTGGTCAATGGGTAACTCTCGATATCAGTTCCGGACGAAGACATACTCTCTGCAACGTTTTGGATAGAGCTGAACTTCCACAATGGGTGATACGGTACAAATGACTTGATCATTTGCAGAACCTGTGGTGGCAAAGTTGCTAGTTCTGGTATCCCAAAAGCTCTTGCGGTAGAAGCCCTTACTGAAGCCTTGGTGGTGTCAATAAGACTGAGCCGAGGAGTAAGTTGAACAGGATGATGTAGCCATGGAAACTTCCAGCATGATGTAACCCATATGCGCTCCATTGCGCTCTCCTGTCGATATTCCTTCATAAATACGCGATAACAAATAGCGTGTATTGTTACAGAAGGAGGGGACTTTGAGCACCTACTACACTCATTACGTTGGCATAATGGCAGTATTCCCCTGACGCGAATAGTCTCGCGGGTTCTAGGATATTGGAACTTTTTAGTGCAACGCACTGGTTTGGTCCCTGTAGGATTACCAATTACTGCAAGGGATTGTTAGTTCAGTACATGCAGCAGAGGGTAGTATTAAGGCAAGTCTTTAAGTCTTACATGCAAGAGTCCATTGATCTGGATTCATCGGTTGATTGCAAAGGCCGCAATCTGATTTAAGATAGATATGCTTCAACTTTTTGTATGGCTCTTCACCCTCATCTTCCTCCTCTAAGGCCTCATCCATATCACTTGTACTGAATTCCTCGTCCGCGAACATGATGGCTTAGGGTAAGAGATAGGTTCACTGGGAGCGTAGAAGGGGAAGAGATATGTAAGAGAGAAAACAGCTGCGAAAGACTGTTGATAGCAAATGTTAGCCAGTCTTTGACTTTAATTAAAATCAACAGTGTAACTAAAGGAGAACTCAGGTTGCCGTGGGAGCGAGTGTGGCTGTGCTGTGGCTGGTAAGAAGGCAACTTATACATACGACAACCGTGGGAATAGGAGTGAAGAGTACCTAAAGATATGGTGGTACATAATTAATTATTATGGCTTTAGATAAAAGGGAAGCTTACGCCCGTTCTGGAGCTTCACTGTTTCGAAAGGTTCATCGGGCGTCCGTAGACAGTGACAACTAGAGATACCAATCATAACCACCGTGTACTCTTGCTCACGCTCGATGGATAGAATAATCGCACAAAATCCATGTATAAGTATCGGCGAGTGGTCTGACAGCAAAGGCCACATTCTGATCAGATACGTAAATGCGTTTCATCAAAATGTGGAATGTCTTCTTCCTAATCAACCAGCGGAAGAGAGACATTGCTGAGTTCATGATGTGTGTTATGGGCTGGTAATGCTACCTGTAAACAGTATAATTAAGCACCTTACATCAGACCAGGAACCATAAATGCTTCTCGTCGTGAGACGAGAAAAAAAAAAGAATACTTTTAGTCGTCGTTCTCTTCCTCATCATGTCGAACGTACATATAAAAAGTGTCTGTGTTGCTGTCGCACAGGAACTCAAGATATGATCCTGCTCGTGCGCGCATACACTGCCAATCATCAAGGTCGCAAGGTTCATGCTCATGGTTATTCGTGCCAGTTGTGCATTCAACTACACAGCTTCCAGTATCTTCCAATGTTTCTGGATCACAGATATCGCGGTAACAGAACCAGGATGGCTCTTCGTAAGCTTTGAAAGGGTCAATACCGATCCGGCATTGCCCTACTGCCCGCTGCGCACCGTTTGCATACTTCAGGAGCAATCCTTTACAATGTCCATTCCTGCGATCGTAATAGACATCAGCATGAGTGATGTTTTTCGCTGGAGCTGCAGTGTGGATACGGTCCCGATTGAGGGGGTCCTCGCCATCGTTGTGGTAGCGAGGAAATGACAACAAGTGTTCACTCTCAAAGTTGTGCTTGGTGACTATGCCGAGTGAACCGCCTGCTAGCTTAGTTGGTACGTTATGAATAAGCACAGATGGCTCATTCCCCGATACATCGTCAGTGTCAGTATAACCTTCGTAAGGGCCAAAGAAGTAGGTCCCTGTGAGTTTGGTGCAGATCTACTGGTGTGAGAAACATTGTAAAGAGATCAGACGATACGCAAACTTACCTCCATTTGTCTTTGCCAGACATCCCCCACGCCGATCCGAAGCAGGGCATCAGTACTGGATACAGGGATGTACGTCCATATCATATGGTCTTGTTCATCTTGAGAGAAATGTTGTATAGCTGTTGCTGCAACTGGTGTGTTCGCTGTGTGGGAGTGAACTGCCGCTATGAAGCCTCTCAGAAAGAAGAAGGTGAGTCCAGTGGTATTGAGAACATCGACAGTGCGGTATCGGATGGAGCCTGGACGGTCCGGCCTCGGAAACATCTTCAAACATCTTAAGGGCGGGCTAGGTGTGTCCCAGAATTGGAAGTCTCGAGAGTCATGAGGATTCTCGATGAATGTTCGGCCAAACTTGTTTAGTATTAACAGAAGTTCCCATGAAGTCACGAGAGGACTGACCTTGAAAGAAATAAAAGAGCCATTAGCTTGTCCTTGTGTAAAGAAAACGTATGCGCATGTATTGGACCGAATATGGTTATACTCTGGCCAATCTTTCAATCTTTGGATCTCCTTCAAGCCAAGACAGTCAACAGTAAGTCTGACGATGAACGGCTCTGATTCACTCTCATCACGAGTAGTATCCGCCACTTTCAATTCGCGTTTCCAGGCTTTCACTGCTGCCAGAGCGAAGCGAGTAGCATCATGCTGAGGCTCGAAGGGATTTTGGAAGGGCCGTGACATCTCCTCAGAAATGTTTTGGATGAGAGAATATCGCCAGAGGAGATTATTGGGGATATAAAACCTAACCATTTGGAGCACTTCTGACGGCAAAAGCGCGAGACCTGGGATACCAATAGCCTCGGCAACAGGCCCTCCTATTGACACCAACGTCATGTCAGTGAGATCAAGTCGAGGCTTCCGCCGGGCAGGTCGGTGTCGCCATGGGGACTTCCATGCTGAAGCGACCCATATAGCCTCCATGGCATCTTCCCGACAATAAGACTGCTGAAAAACACGGTAACAATTCGCATGTATTGTCACAGATGGACAAGCCAATTCGCACATCTTGCATTGGAGACATTGGCACAGTGTTAGCTTGTCTGCCATTTCAACGACATCCTGAGACTCTGGAAATCGGAACTTGTTGGTCAAATGAGACGGGCTGAGGCCATCGTCGTGCCCAAGCACTATAAACCCAATGTTAGATCGAACTGGGGAAGTTTCCCATCCTTACTCACAGGCCACAGTCCACTCGTCGGTGTGAATAGTTTGATCGCAGAGTTCGCATTCTGGCTTGATGTAGACATGTGTTTCTGTCATGAAATCCTCCATTTTGCTTAAGTGCGTCTTCTCGGGGAGCACGAAAGAGGGTGCTAAATTAAACCTGGTAAGAGAAATATTTGTATCATTTAGGATCGAGGCCCCAAGTGTTCTTTCCTCGCGAGTCGTTGAAAGGCCAAAGTTGCAAGAGCGGGCTAGCTGCTGCCCGAGTACCTACCTGAGGTACCCAAGCTGCAACTGCCTGGGTCGTCTCTGAAGTAAATCTGGCCGATTGGGAGCATCTTAGACAGCCTACCTATCTATCCTAAGGCGGTTTGGTTAAAACTGTGGCTCTTCAATAGCATTTTTCCAGGCATCTGCCAATAAGTGTAGTTTAATCGAAATTGAAGAAGGACTTGGGTACGGAGTAGGTAGCCGCCATAGGCAAACAATCTCAGGAACCTGCATCTGCACTTGGTTTAATGACCTGAAAATACGACCTGGCCTACAATAATTCATTCCTTCTTCTCCTTCTTCTAGCGAGTTTCCATGACCAGGGCAAGGTGGTCATTGCGTTGCCTGACCGCTGTCCCTGGGTCAGTGCTACCTTCTAGAAAGATCACAGCTAAGAACCCTGTGGGTGGCCTCAAAACTTTTAGAGACCCTGTCTCAGACGAACGATGCAGAAAAGAATTACACAATATTTGCTTATGATTCAGCAATTTTTTAGACGACAAAAGAAGCAATTGATGCAGGTCGCCTCACAAGGCTGCAGTTGTCCCCGACAATCGCTGCATGTTTTCTGCAGGCTGATACTGATCTGATGGGGAATACTGACAGCCACAGCCCGCAGACATGAAACACCATGACGAAACGTTTCACGAAATGATTCCGCACAGTTTTCTATCTATTACATGTTGCAAGGATCCTCCTCCGACAAGCTGCCGCATCTGGAATTGACATTGGCATGGCGATGCGAACGTGCCTGAATAAAGCTGCAAATTCTCAAGCCATGTATCTATTTTCGGCCACAGCCAACGCTAACTGTCGCAGCATCTGCATGACAAGAGGTCAGTGCAAAGGAGAAGCTCTTGACAAAACACTCATCAGAATGACAGTACAGTACGGACAATACAGATGGTATCACGACATGTATCAAACTCCTCAAAACGAACTCCCACGGCCAGCTTTCCTCGCAGCTTGCCGAGGCAAATGACAACCATATCGGATATATCACCAAAACGATGGTCTTCTGACCGATGGCATAACATGGCTGGCCCCTTTCCCGGCAGGCTGGAGGCTGGCTGCACGGATCCGACGATCAGGATCGACATATACGTAGCAGAGGGGGGAAATGATGACGGCAGAAGACGACCGCTACTAACCCTAAAAGACCATGGCTCACCGTCAACCACGGCTTCGTCAAACTGATGGGACATTTTTGATTAGGGAGGCATTGGCCATGCATGGATTACTGTATGGAATCAAGATAAAGCAAGCTATCGGGTCGCTTCCGCAGCATCAGCTATCACGCAGGTTGTTTTTGGTCAGATTATTATACCCCTGCCAAACATCAAAAGAAAGGTACCAGTGAACCGTTAAGGGCCCTGTGCGCGCTCGGTCATCTGCGCTTGGTGCCGCTCGCTAGTGAGGATGAGAAGACCATTACTGGGGTCCTTGAAAGGGTTTGGTCAAGGTCCATGACGAGCAGCAAACAGCACATCGCATCCCACTGAAGCTTTATCGAAGCATCCACCGAAGCGCCTCAACGCACTGACCCTCAGGTTTCTTCCCAACAGCAGCTCCGGGGCTGGCTCCGTTTCACTTTGTGATGGGATGTCCACTGCCCTAAGACGCCACTAACTTTAGGTACAGGGCAATGAGTTGCTTGCTAATGTAGCTGGTACTGCGACTATCTTAGCTACATGCGCTTGTGCCAAGGTACCGGCACCACCACGCGGGCAGCCCAGGACATCTCAGTTTATCTGCAATCGCATCATTGCGAGAGCCAATTTCTGTGCCGTTCGGTGATTAACCCAAAGTTTGACTCTCGAAACCGTTCCTTTCCCGTTGAATTGCTTGCATTACCGATGCTTGCTTGCTTGCTTTTGGCTTGCTCATATTTCTCCACTCAAAGCTTCACTTTCACAGGGGCCCTTGTTCTTTTGCTCGCTTCTTACACGCTGCTTCACCGTGTGTGACGGCACTGCCCGCCCGCCCAGCTAAGTCAGGATAGTACTTACAGTACAACACTGTAGGTACTTTGCCTAACTACCCCACACCAAGCTTTCCTTGTCCGTGTGAGTGGGCGTGTCGAATGCAAGAGGGGCCTTCTGTGTCGTGGTCGTGGTCTTGAGTGGGCGTCGTTCATGTGGCGGCCAGAACTGGCACTGGAATCCATCTTTTCCCATGCGGATCTATCTATCTCCTACCTTACCTTACATACTGTACATGCTCTTTTGACTTGACCTTCCTCAACTGATTTCCCCTTCGAGCTTCGCCAATTCCACTCTTACAATAGCTTCCTTGTTGCTTCTTGACAGCTCCCCACCAGCTTTCTTCTTCTTTTAACTTGACCTCTATCCGTGAGCATCAGATAACCTTCGTTTCTTGGCTTCCGTTCAAGCTTTGGTAAGTCCCAACACGAGTCTCCATTCTTTGTCCGCCATCCGTCATCGCTCACACTCCTCGAAAGCCACCTTCGACCTATCCACGCGATCATTCTTGACGTTCAACATCTACGCCTTCACCTGCACAACAGCTCGCTCCTTGTTCTCGTGTTACGAAAAAAGATCCAAACCGCCGCCTTGGAACCCTGTGCGACTTCTACCTTGATATTCAGTCTGTGACTGCAGCTTTTACGCCCTCTACCTATCACGGGGCCTACGGATCGAGCCTGGGCTTCAACACAAGCCTTTTGTGCGTCCATATTTCAAGCCACAGTCGGCAAACCGATTGCACGAAAGCGATCATCTTATTCTCCTCAAGGATTGCTCTCCAACGTCACACCGGAGCATGACTGTACCTTGATCCACTCTCCAAGTTTCACTTGACATTTCCGCGTCATAGCCTGGGAGATATAAAGCCAGGAACAAAGAAAAAGGTCAAGAAACTGTCACCCTCAGCTCCGGCGGCGGCTCGAGAGCTTGCTGGAGGGGAGGCAATTGTCCTCGCCGTTGCGATTCCGCTGACTTCTAGCAACACCGCATTTTGCCAAAACTGGAACCATGAGGCGAGGTCGTTCCCCAAGCTCGCCATCGCCCTATAGGGCTTTGGCTCATCATCAGCAAGCCTCGGCTGCTGCGACATCCTCAGATTCGATTTCATTGATTCGGTCTTTCAATGTCGAAACAAACCCAACGCGGCCAGTGCGGCCTTCGCCGCTCACAGCATCGCTTATCCGAGACATGCCGCTAGATCTGGTTGACCGCATCAGATCCTTCCCTCTCTTTATGTCAGCTCCGGAAGAGTTTCTTGTTGCTATAGGAAATCACCTGAAGCCTCAAATCCAAAGCCCCAATGATCATATCGTGACGGAAGGAGACGAAGCCAAGGCAATGTACTGGTTGGTTCGAGGAGTAGTTGCTGTCACTTCGCGTGATGGTGAGGCGGTCTATGCTGAGCTCAATCCCGGTTCGTTCTTCGGAGAAATCGGTGTTTTGATGCAGATGCCTCGAACAGCTACTATTGTAGCACGCACGAAGTGTTTGTTGCTAGTGCTGAAGAAAGAGGATTTACATGCCGTGATACCTAAATTCCCAGAAATGGAGAAGGCCATTCGGGAAGAGGCACAGGAACGGTTGAACCTTCTGAAAAAGAAGCGGCAAGAAAGTGGAAGATTGGTCAAATCTCCCCAGGGAGACTTCAGCGCCCGAGAAGCCGCTCCTGGAGAGGTCTCTACTGGAGAGAGGGGCGCTATCAAGGACGGTGCGGTTGTCAACAACAAGAAAAGAAAGTCCCCGAGCCCTGGAATCATGGAGGACCCAGCTGCTGGGAGTGCGATTGGAAGCGGTCAAATCAACATTCGAACAACACTTAAGGAGTTACCGCTCTTCTCTACACTTCCTGCAGATATCCTGCATTTCCTGGGATTGAGTGTCCAACCGAAGTCCTATACCCCATTTACAGATATCGTTCGCCAAGGCTTACCGGGAAACGAAATTTTCTTCATTGTTCGTGGCGAGGCGGAGGTCATTCATGATGAGCCAGTTTACGACGATAACATTCAGAATAAGGCCAAGGCCATCCCAAAACGGCCTCGATTGAAGGCAGGTCAATATTTCGGCGAAGTTGCAAGCCTTGGATTGTCACGAGGTCGAACAGCCACCGTAAGATCTATCACTTCTGTCGAGTGTATCATGATTACAGGCGATGTCCTCGACGAGTTCTGGAGACGCTGTCCTTCCGATATTCTGACACAGGTCAAAGAAACTGCACGGTTGCGATATCAGAAACAGAGCGACGACGTTGTTATGGTTGATGTTGATGTGAAGGAAAAGGCTAACAAATCTGACCCGCCGACACCTACAACACCAACACGAGCATCGCTCCCTGACCTCACTTTTACTACCCCATCCAAGCCTGGGTCTCCAGCGAAAGATGATACAAGCAATATAGCACCCAAGGACCCCGACCCGTTCTTGAGTGTGAACATGGAGAATATTCGAAATCGAAGGCGGCATTCGTTGGCACCTCCAATGCCTCCAACAGACAGCTCTACCCCAACGACCAACGGTGCCAGGTCTCGCCTCTCAGAAGTAACTCCTATCAAATTTGCGTTTTCTGATGCTTCAGCTGACGACAATGACGTCCCGGCAAAGCGAGTACGGACGACTCTGCCAACCCGACCAATTACTATGAGCAAACCAGTTCTCTCAGATGAGATCCTAATTTACATCTTCAAGCACGTGGATATAGGAGAGCTGTTTCGACTACGCCTTGTTAGCACACACTGGCGTAAGCTCTTGACTACATCCCCCAAAGTTTGCCAAGATGTCGACCTCTCGATTTACAACCGCAAGGTTACTGACGAGGTCCTGATCAAGGTGCTTGCTCCCTTCATTGGCACTCGCGCTTTGTCCATTGACCTGAATAATTGCTTTCATATAACGGATGAAGGATTTGGTGCTCTATGGCGCAGCTGCGGCAAAAATGTCAAGAAGTGGAAAATGAAATCAGTCTGGGACGTTTCTGCGAACCAAATTTTGGAGATGAGCGAGAACGCGAAGGGATTAGAAGAAGTTGACTGGAGCAACTGCCGCAAGGTTGGTGACAATCTTCTAGGCCGCGTTGTTGGCTGGGTTGTACCAGATCCACCGCCTTCGAAATCAGTCGTTATCTCAAGTTCCACGGCTCGATCGCGAAGCAAGCAGCAACAACAGAAGCATGCCGCACAGCATGTTCTGCCGCCGGGTACAGTAGTTGGGTGCCCGAAACTCAAACGCCTCAACCTTTCCTACTGTAAGCACATCACAGATCGTTCTATGGCTCATTTAGCAGCACATGCTTCGAACCGTATCGAGTCGTTGTCCCTCACACGTTGCACATCGATTACAGATGCAGGGTTTCAATCATGGGCGCCTTTCCGGTTTGAAAAGCTATCTAGGCTGTGCCTAGCTGATTGCACATATCTCTCGGACAACGCTGTGGTTGCCCTGGTCAACTCAGCCAAGAACCTTACACATCTGGACCTATCGTTCTGCTGTGCACTTTCTGACACGGCGACAGAGGTCGTCGCTCTCCGTCTGCCAAAGTTGCGGGAGCTGCGATTGGCGTTTTGCGGAAGTGCGGTCAGCGATGGAAGTTTGGAAAGCGTGGCGCTCCACTTGAACGACTTGGAGGCCCTCAGTGTTCGTGGCTGCGTGCGTGTCACTGGTCGAGGCGTCGAAAATGTCCTGAATGGTTGCGGGCGACTGAACTGGATGGATGTCAGTCAATGCCGTAACTTGGAGTCTTGGATCCGAGCCGGTGGCGTTTCGAATTGGGGGTTTGATGACCGCGTAGGTCAACGTTCTACAGAGCCCACATCAAGCGAAACCTCTGGGCAGGGACAATCAGAGGATGACAATCCTGCGCCCAAGGCCATGAGCGTTGCTATGCTCACAGCGCAGAACTTTATGCCACGATCTGCGTTCGGATACAGAGCCAAGAGAGCACGACGACCCGTGCGGTTCGTCATCGAGAAAGGATTTGGAAGTTTACGATAAAGAAAGGACGGCGTCTTGGGGGGCACTTTGAGGAACCGATTGGGAATTGAGTTGGGATGGAAAGCATTGGATCTATGTTGCGCAGCATTGGCGTCAAAGTCGTGGAGCATTTGCCATTACTACATATCAAGTCTCGTGCGATGCAACGCATATCCGGGTAGAGAGGAAGCATGATGGAATGGGTGAAATGCTGGGAGAGAGGATGCTTAGTAGATACCCTTGATGGAGGTGTTGATATCCTTCATAATAATACTGGAATTGAAAAGAAGCAGCCGAAAATAGAAGAGGCTAGAAAAAGGCCAACGTCAACGTATATGTGATGTAACTATTCCCATAGCGTAACACCAGTAAATCCGACGGCGCCTGGAGTTTAGAGCCCGTAGCCGCCGAGTGATGACCAACTGAGTCACTGAGAGGCACCGGTTCTTTCCACAATATTCCACCGACACAGCCACGTGATGTCGGATTTTAGGTAAGGTAGGCTCCACAGCCGGAACCAACGTCATGCTTTCCATTCTTTTACCGGGGACTTATAATACTCTCGATTCCCCGTCCCCGCTTCAACCTTTTCCTTTGTAAACGAAACGACTTGCATATCGCATCCTTCCCCAGCAACTGCATCGCCAGAACGACGATGTCCTTCACAATTACTGTCCGCCAGGGCCCTGCGCGACTTGCGCAGAGGCTTCCTGAGCTCTCAAAGACTGCTTTCCGCAACACCGCATCCGTCCGAAGCTTCCACGTCCAGTCCAAGCCCACAGCCAACTTCTTCACATCGCGCGTCACCTCCGCAGCCACCCGCAATGCTTTCCAACGAACAAGCCGTGCTGGCGGTCGATCTTACAACCAGCAAGCTGCAGGAGCTGCCACAGCGCCTCAGTCGACGAGCCGACGACTCTTGGTTGGAGGTGCCATCTTTGGCGGTACGCTTGTTGCCATCAATGCTGTCTTCAACCGGGAGACCCGTGAGGATGGCGGCATGCCCGTTTACGAGCGCGAATACTTGAACAACACTTTCTTGCACACTGGTCTCGGAATTGGTATCATTGGATTGACGGCTCGACAAATGGTTCAAACCGGCTTCGTTTACCGAATCATGGTTACTAACCCTTGGGTTGTTGGAATTGGTGGTCTCGCTCTCAGCTTCGCCACCATGATTGGAACTCGATCTATCAGCCCTGACAAGTAAGTTGATGAATTCAATCAATGCCAATTTTGAAACATTTTTACTAACAATACCCAGCTACATCCCCAAGTACGCCCTCTGGACCGCTTTCAACGCCACTCAGGCTGCATTTGTCGCTCCCCTCCTCGCCTTCGTTCCCCCTGCTCTCCTTGGACGTGCCGGTCTCTACACCATCGCCATGATGGGTGGTCTTGCCATCGTCGGTGCCACTGCTAAGCAGGAGAAGTATCTCTACATTGGTGGTCCTCTCCTGGCTGGTGCCGCCATCGTTGCTGCTTCTGGTCTCGCCCCTCTTGTCATCCCCGCCACCGCTATCCGAACCCTTGCCTTCACTGAGAGCATCTGGCTGTACGGTGGTCTTGCTGTCTTTGGTGGATTCACTCTGTATGATGTCCAGAAGGTCCTCCACCACGCGCGTCTCGCCCAAGCTGGTGTCATTCGCCGTGACCCCGTCAACGAGAGTATCTCTCTCGAGCTTGACTTCCTCAACATCTTCATCCGCATGGTTCAAATCCTGATGATGCAGCAGAACCGACGCAAGTAAGCGATCGGTGATGGAGGTGCATAGAATTAGCGCTATAGGCGTTTTGTATTATTTTTAGCAAAAGGATTATTTACGCGGATGGAGGATAATGATGAACTCCTCTCCTGTTTTTTGTTGAAATCGGTCTACAAGTGGATGGGCCTTCCAACTTCTTAATTTTAGGATTAGCAAATAAGAGAAAAAAAACATCAAATATCCAGAGTGGAGTTGATTTCAAATGTTGTAAATTGTGACTAGGTATATGTTGAATTTCTGTCCCCTCATTGCCTCATTCCAAGTTAAGTTTCCTGATATCATTGATGCCATTTCCATCCGTCTGCTAAGCCAAAATACAATATATCCTCGAATGTTTATCTACTCCAGAGGTGGGAAGGGCCTCATAAAGTGGCTCGGGCACTCATAGCCAGAGGGGTTATTGTGGAGGTAGAGTTGGTGATACTCCTCAGCAGTCCACCACTTTCCAGCGGGCGCAATCTCGGTAACGATGCCGCCCTTCCACCATTGCTTGTTGGCCTTCTCTGTGACCTCGCGCGCGATCTTCTCCTGCTCCTCGTTGTGGAAGTAAATGGCAGAGCGGTACTGGGGGCCGGTATCGGGACCCTGGCGGTTCAGCGTCGTGGGGTCGTGCGTCTTGTAGAAGAACTCCAGGAGTTGTGCGTATGAGACTTTTGTAGGGTCAAAGATGATTTGCGCAGCTTCGGCGTCTATGAATGTTAGTTATGCTTTAACGCGAATGATGAGGATTGCGACGTACGGCCTGTCTTTCCACCGCAGACGGCGCGGTAGCTAGGGTTGTCGAGATCACCACCAATGTATCCAACCTTTGCATCGATCAGACCCTTATCGGCAAAGTGTCTGCGATACAAATGCTCTGTTCCCCAGAAACATCCCGCTGCGACGGTGCAGCGCTGAGCGCCCTCGGGGATGACAGATGCAGCGGATTGATCGGGAGCGATTGAGAGACGTGTAGATTGTGTAAAGGGACGGGCGAGACGCGCCAGGAAGGGAGGAAGGTAGGACATGTTTGCAGGTAGTAGAGATGAATGCGATTGTGTTGTTCTGTTCTGAGGAGGTAGAGTGAAGCTATCGAGGGAGTCGCATTGATATTTGAATGTTTTTTCGGGCTGTCGGTCAATGCGAATGACAAATCTTTACCTAGAAGGGGGAGCCCAAGTGTGGCGGGGGTAATGGAAGCTGCGTCACTGAAGACGCAGATGACGATTGGATTTCGCAGAGCTCTGCTTCCTCTTTTGGGAAGGTGGCGTGCCGTTTAGTTCAAGGGTCTTTTTCTTCTTCTGCCCCGCGGTTTTTCATTAGCGAGTTATGGACCATGTAATCAGTGGCTGAGGCTGTGTTTTAGTGCTTGATTACCTGAACAGATTTACTGCAACGGGGAGTGAGCTACAGGGCTGTGAACTATTTGAAATAGGCAATTCTGCTGATACGCCTGTTGATGTGTTGGCTGTGCATACGCTTCTCATACGCTCAATTACAGATATCCATCAGTCCTTGTTAGTGAGAGGCCATCTCGGCTATATTTGTGGATTTCACTATTGCCGTTAGCTACCTACCTACCTATTCTTCGACATACTATACGCCCCCTATGCACTCAGGGCGTGCTCGCATGTAGCTAATGCCTGCAAACCCTCTCACACGTGCTAACAAGAATAACTGCCGTTATTAGGTATGCCACGCATATACATAAATAATTCCTAGGATATTTCGATGCAATAGAAACACGATAAGATAAAGATAAAATTGGGTTAATTAACTTCTGGAAGTCATCGTCCGCTGAATCGCATGCGGAGTTTAAACTCTCGTCTCGTCTTCCCCGCCGACTCGGCCGACCTCGGTTCCCCAGTCGGACATAGCATAGATTACACTTACACTGACTATATATCATTCTCGCAACCCTCTATAATCTTTTTAATTAATTATACTCGCTCAGTATCTTGATCATGACTTCATCAAACCTTGCTCAACGTATTCCTCCCGACTCATGGGACTCACACATGCACATTGTCGACGTTGAGAACTACACCCTTGATGCTTCAGCCAAATACCGTCCTACGTCTCATAGTCTGGACCAAGCCCTTACCTTTGAAACCAGCGTTGGGCTCCGCAACATAGTCCTGGTTCAGCCATCTATCTATGGCCTCGACAACTCGTGTCTTCTCGATGGTCTGCGTGCACTTGGTGCTGAGCGTGGACGAGGCGTTGTTGCCATCAACCCCGAGGCCGTTAATGAGGAGGATTTGCGTTCTTGGCATGAACTAGGCGTTCGTGGAGTGAGACTCAATATCCTCTCGAATGAACTTGCCATTGATGCGGCCGAGTTGGAGAGGCAGTTAATGCTTTACGCTGACGCTGTGAGACCCTTGGGATGGGTTGTTCAGGTCTATGTTCCAATGGATATGGTCACTCTCCTTGAACACATCATCCCGAAGCTCAATGTCAAGTTCTGCATAGACCATCTTGGACAACCGCCTCTGAACAAATACGCAGGCGCAGATCCATATGACATTCCAGGCTTCTCTTCTCTCATCAATTTACTCAAAAACGGCCAGACATATGTCAAGCTGTCAGCCGCTTACAGGATGAGCACACTCCCTGACTACAGCGATTTGGATCCCATCGCTAAGGAGGTTATTCGAATCGCTGGAAAGACGCATGTTGTTTTTGCAACCGACTGGCCTCACACAAGGTTTGAGGGATTGGATATCAAGCCTTGGATGGAGAGAGTGTTGAGTTGGTGTGGTGATGATGAGCATCTCAAGGAGCGGCTTTTCAGAGGAAATGCTGAAGATTTATGGGACGTTCAGAGGCCATCGAGGAAATCAGACCAGTAATTGGAATCATTTATGGCTAGGGGTCGAGCTCGATATAGCAGTAAGGGGATCTTCATCCATGGTGTTCAAAGCTGATTTCGTTCTTTCTGCTATGGACATGTGTACTTGTTAATATTTTCGTTTATATATTCATATCATATCTGCCTATTATTCATCTGTTGATCATTCTGCCGTTGCATTGTGATACCTGGAACGTCAAGAACGATTTCCAAAATGGCCACAACCAGTCCTAGGACCATTCTACAGAGTGCGAGATTACACAAGCAATCGAGACATGACTCCATGTTCCAGCATGAAGTTGACGGTTGAAAGTATAACTTCGATAACATCTTCTCCGAGTAGCGCCGGGCAGTGTTCGGCATGTGGACCTTGAGGGCTCGGCAGATGCGAGTATATAACGGTATCGCGGCTTCGATACCCCGATGTGAGAGCCCACAGTCAAGACTACCAATGCCTGGTAAGCCTCTTCTGTCGTTGAGCTCTTTGCTATTGGATGAATCAAGATCCGTGGTTCCTTGAGTGCCTGATACCCGGCTGAGAAGTTGATATTTTTCACTCCATTTGAGTTTCCGGGTATCGGATTCGCGTCAGTTCCCTGATTTTCGGCATCCTGCTTTCATTGACGTTGATCAAATCAGTTTTTAGTATACTCTAGAATGCTCTACCACAGCATCCTTGATCAACCAAAATTCTGAGGGTTGTTTCCTGACTCATAGATAGCGCCCACCCGTACACTCAGTGGCTCAAATGAGGATAAAGCCTCGAAAACTCCTCGGTCAACGGCCATTGCATTCGGATTCATATCGTCGGCCCACGGTGTCTGGAACAGCTGCTCCGGCTCGTAAGGCGATTGCTGTGCGGGTATATCAAATGAAGCTGGGTAAATAGTCTCGGTAATCGGTATGTCTGTAGGCATCGGAACATCTGGCATAGGCTGAGGCATCGGCGGAGGAGGCTGTTGTTGTGGTGTACTGAATCCTGGATCAAGCCCAAGATTCGCCATCTCTCGGGTGATCAAATCCAAAGCACTTGAGATGACTATGTGGTATGTTAGAGCTTGTACAGCTAGGGGCATAAGCTACTTACCTGGATTAACAGTTTTGGCCTGATGCAAGGCTCGTACGCAGAAGCTCAGCTTGCGAACTGCTTGTTGGTCCTCAGGTGTAGCTTGAACCTGCAAAAGGAAAATTGTGGCCGCGATATACACACTATATGAAAGTGATAGAACGCAGTGACTGATGGTAAATGTTCTGCAAAAAAGATCGAAGATGGCTATAATAGATGTTGCAGATGTGACGCATTCCACGAGATGGTTCTGCATCGGATGAGGGCCTTCATCCTCTGGGTATACCTGCCAGGTGAGCATCGGCCTAAACAGGAGGATTCTGAACGTATGGTACAATGCACTTATCAGATTAGCTAGCGCTTTCAGAAATGGAAAACTGGCACTCACTTCATGGTGACAATGTGTGATGGAGGTGCCAGCTCAGGCATGGCGGAGAGCTCGATCTTGAGATGTGGAGGGAGTTGTTCCCACCATAGTCTCATGGCAGGATCTTGTGTCTGTAGACACTCTTGCATCTCTGCCTCGGTATTCTCCAGTAATGGATCATACATGTGAATGAGAATCTCATTGAAGATGACTGATAATCGACAAGCACTCATGAAACAGGAAGTTGAGTGAGCTGTCGCAGGAGGGTACTTCCAATCTGATCCATGAGGTGAGTCAAAGGGGACCCAGAGCTCATTCTCGGCCGAGTCGTCCACTAGAGGCTATCAGTAACTTGTTTGCCGAATAATTCCATATCTAGACTTACTGATAATCTGAGGCGGTGACACCTGCGTATGTTGCAGTGAAGGCGAGCGACCGAGGTATAGGCTGATAATCTTATCCCAGAAATAGCAACTCCAGTAAAGTCGATGTCGAATTTCGACCTCTTCATCAGTCAAATGGACTGACCCTGGATATCTCTGTCCATCAACGCAAATACCCAAATGATCAATGAGACGGAACGCTATGCCACTGTAAATCCAGGCCTGTGTCGTGTTGCCATGACCACATTCTCCTGCGCTAAGAAGTAGCAGTGTCTGAACAGTTGGTATAGTACAAACGCCTCTACTTAATTCGTCGAAAAGCATGCTTCGGGCGTGTTTTGCAAAAACAGCTCCTCCATCATAAGACTGATCCAGCAGTTGTTTGGTGGAGGGATCACTTTTACCCCAGCGGATGGAATGTGAGAGCATTGCATTCAGAAGAGTGTGAGAATAGTACGGCCCCATGGATTGCATGTCACCTGTGAATGTTAGTTACTGCTTACATGATTTCGAGGTGAAGCATACGAGTGAATGCAGGCCTGTAGATAAAGTTAAAAAGAGGCTGGATCCAGCACCAATGCACATTCAGAAGGTATTGAAACGGTTCCTTTATGGTGTAAGCTGAGATTCGTGAAACTGCAGATTATACGACAACCTACTGGGATATCAGACAGGTTTTCCATCGCTCGCTGATGCCATGCATTGTTAACCAAACGCTCTCTTCTATGAGCATCCGAGTCAATGGATGATATCGAGTCTGGCTTATGCTTGTGAGGGTCACTGGGAAGGTTGAAGAGACTGGTCGGTCCATGGTAAGTAATGCCACCCTTGTCATCGATCTTGAGACCCATGAAGCTCCTCGTCATTGCATGCTCGTCTGTATGGCGATTCGAGTCATGGCCGTTCCAGACGCCAGGACTCGAATGATTTGAGGCGGCCACTGATGGAGGAGATTTGATAGCAGCGAGTTGGTCTTCCAATTCTTTAATGCGTTCCTCAAGGCGCTGGGTGTAAGACAGAGTCGGGTTCCTATGACACGTGAGCAATTGCTCAGAAAATAATGAGGCCGAGGTGAGTCCCACAGTTTGTAAATACAGTCATCGCTTCTAGCAGCACAGCGATTGCAAATCGGTTGCTCGCCGCCGCATTTGACCTAAAGGGTATCAGTACAGGTTTATGGGTGAAGCAGTGATTGTGTCGACCTTGCGTCTACGGCACGGCTCACAAGAGAATGCGCTCTTCTTTGTGGCTTTGACCGACGACATGATGTGCCACAAAGTCTAGTGAGTTTCTCGTCCAGTCCAGGTCAGTTCCGGTATTGCAATTAAATCGGCAAGAGTCGTCAGAGGCAGAGAGTGAGCCCCGCGTTGGACATTGAAACCCCACCTAGAACTTGGGCCGGGTCTGTCCGATGATGAAGCTGTAGACTGCTGCGCCGAGGGACAGTATAAAGACAGTGAAGGTGGTTTTCTCCTTTAGGGGTAAGAATAAGGCACAGTTAATAAAAGCCCGACTAGGACGAGGATTCTCCGCCTTGTGACTGTTTCGAGTCAAAGGTAAAGTTGTGGTAAAGTACACGGAGCCGATGCTGCGTTAAGCCGGGGCAAGACTGTCGGGAGGCCCCAGCTCGGAGGGACAAGTGGGGGCGGGTTCTAGGCCTGTCAGGCCTGACCAGACTCTGTGTAAGAGACGTCAGGTCCTGAAATCAATTGATGAGCTGTGTTGAATTGTATTGAAAGATACTATAGATGGTCAAATGCAAAAGGTAAAGATTGATCAGGCACATCCCATTGGAAGCCTCAGGACCAACTACAAGATGATCACGTGGGTCATGTGCTCTTGGGATGGCTGTTCCAAGGGAAGGCGCAGCCAACGGTATAGGACAGTATAGCGCTGGATGTGCTGTAACTTGGGCCTCTTCAGTCGTCATAACCTGAACGATCGACAGTCTCTGAGACGAATTCGTTCTAATTTACAACTGTATTGCCAAGAATTACTCCTGGATTTCGAGTTCTCTCAAGATATATCATATACTTTTGTTTCATTTTCGTACATCGAGCTAAATGACATACGAGGCGAAACCGGAACAGGAACACTTTACATATGGAGCTCCGCATCCATTTCCCGGAACCGAGGAACTGGCTACGGCATCTGATAAAATATTATCTCGGTATATATGGAGCACTCAATACCTTGTTTATTGTCTATTTACCTACTCATTCAATCTATTTTCAGCCACTAATTATCTTCTCATTTAATGCTGCTTCATCTCTTCAGGTAGTCATGCTTCTCTCCAGGCCTTAATTGACAACCTCGGTCGAACGGACCCGATAATATCCACTTTGCGGCCGAAGAGAAGCATCGATGCCCGGTGCAGTGGATGCCCTAGTCAACCAGATCTCACGGGCTTGAGACTATAGACTCAGTTCGAGCCTAACATGGTGTTACTACATCGCAAAGAACCGTGCCCGCCTTTTGATGAACACATATCACCTGATTACTCTCTCATGTCACAGTCCAATATTGTTACATCGACTACAATATCCCTCCAGACACGGACGGGACAACTGCTCCTATATCCTGACCTGTAATTGTCATACTCGCAGTTGTTGTTGCACATGCATCTTCTTCTCAGTCGATATGTTACCTCTCACTAACACAGCTTCTGTGTATGTCCTGGTCGCCAAGCACCGCATGTGATCTTTTACATGAGCATCGATGCATGCATATGCGAAACTGTCACATCCCATAAGTTGGTCAACAAGTTCTACGGCATTGAGCCAAGCACTCGAGAACAATCTCTGTGCATCACAGAACTGTAATCCATTGGATGCCTTTGTAGGTGGGACTTGTATACGCTTGATGCGTCTCATTGCAGCTTAGGCTATCAAAGGTCAAGCTCTTTTTTCTTGACTCCGAGTGTTCTTCCAAGGATGCGACATCATTAAAATTAATAGCATAATGTCAATCTTGAATTGCAAAGGTCAAAGTGATTCACATGTAATAACGATTATCACTAACGGCTCTTGTTGCCGTGCTATTTCCACATCTACAACAAGGATCATCCATCGAGCGGCACAGCGGGGCACAGTAATCAGTGATCGGTGATCAGCGCTCACTTTACCCCTGCGTCAACTGCAAATCAACAACCTCTCAACTTCATCGCAACATCCATCACAATGTCAACAGAAAGATCTCTCTGCAAGACCGCGGTCTATGGCCTATGGTCGTACCAATTTGGTTTCCTCTTGTTCGCAGAAACATACCAGCTTTTCGTGGACTCACTCTCCTTCCGCCTCCTGTTTCTGCTTCTCCCCTTCATGTTTGAGCTGTTTCTCCTTTTCACCACAGCTTCTCGCATTCCTATTCTGGCGCCATGGACCAAACGTTTTCACCGGTTCTTCTACGAAACGAGAGACTGGGCTATGGTCCTCCCAGTCTTGAGTATCCTCTGGGTCTTTGGCATTTTAATGGTTGCCGGCCTTGTTTTCACAGACCTCATTGGTTCCGGACCCATCAATAGAACTCTAGGATTCATACAACCTTACCTTGGGTTTGTTGTTTATATAATCTACATCGGGGGTGTTGTAACCTTTATCCCACTGCCGTTTTGGACAGCTTTTGTTGGTTTCCAGGCTTGTATGCGGGTGAAGAACCTCAGGAGTCCCGAGGAGGAAGAGGCGATGGGATTGACGGCCAAGGACGACGACGACGAGTGGAACGGCTTTCAAGATAATCGGGGTGACTGAGCTGCACTATATTTAAGAAGCCCAGATGTCTTATTGAAACCGTATGTACTCCGAAACTCATGCTAAAAGTCCTCGTTTAATCATGCATCCTCCTCGTGTGCTCCAATTTCCCCTCCATCCCTTTCTCAAAAACACCCATTAAAAAGTCACCGTCGTGCTACATACACTGATACGATGTAGTAGTGAATGGTTTAACACATAGATCCAGCCTTGTGTCAGAGCCCGCTGTACCATGACAGAATGTAACGGAACTCATAATCTTGTACTGCTCACACAGTCATACAGCCATTGCTGGACATGTGGTTTGAGCAGCCCCGATCGCCGGGAACAACTTAGGCATGGCTCATCTGACCATCAATGATGCTATCATTTCGTGGAGCAGCACCATGGTCCTTGGGCTCAAGAGTGTCGGTCTGGGAGTGAGCGATGGGCTCTTTCTCGTGATGTTCGAAGAAGTGATGCTTGCTACCCCTCTCCAAATCGTCATCATCCTGGCCAGGGTTGGCGGTCTGATACTCGAGCACCTTAAAAATCTTGTAGCAGCCGAAGGCCAGGAAAGAGCCCATGAAAGGGCCAAGGTAGTAGATCCAATCATACCCATGGAAACCAGCGACAACTGAAGGACCAAAGGATCGAGCAGGGTTGATGGAAGTGCCAGTCCAGTTTGTCAGGCAGATGTGAGCGATGAAGACAGAGATACCAATGCCGATGGGGGCAAGATGTGTGCTGCGGTGCTTCTCAACGGCAAGGAAGTAAACAGTCAAGACAAGTTGGGCAGTGAGGAACATCTCCATGAAAACACCCTGAGCAATGCTTGTACCATTACCGAGAGCATTTGTGACGAGGAGGGGTCCGGGGATGAGACCGTCCGTAACTCCCGCGGCGGCAATAGCGGCGACGAGTTGTGTAGGAATAATAGCCAGGGCATGAAGAGGTGGTACAGCACCGACGAGGACCAGACCGAGAGTCACCTAACGAAGAAAGAAGAATGAGCATGTGAGTCAATCAAACAAGTTGGTGCGAGTGTCACTTACAGCCGGGTTGAACATGCCACCACTAACACGATAAAAGATCCAGACATTGACGGCGAGAGCAGTACCGAAAGAGGCAGCAATGTACATCAACGAGAAGGGCTCCAAGGGAGCAGTAGAATTGGTAGGGTTATTGGTAACGAGGGCAGTCTGGGCACCGATGAAGGAGAGAAGAAGAAACATGAAGGTTCCGCAGAATTCTCCGAGGACGATGACGATGGCGTTTCTCACGCGGTTGGGGATGGGACTGCCTGCTCTGCGATCCGCCACGGCTTCCTCAGTAGGCAAGCCAGACATGCCCGTGTCGGCACGAGTGAATTGAACCATTGTGACTTGATTTCCAAGAGGTTTTGGTGGTGTGTGTATGGTGTGTTAGGGGAGGGAGAAGAGTGGACGCTCAGGAATGGTGAGGTGAGATGAGATGAGATGGGATCTGATGCTAAGGGACCTGACAAAAGAGAGTTTCTTCGACGGCGTACTCGGGGATTTTATATCGAGGAGAGCAAGAAAGAGCAGGAGGGAAAGACATAACCTCCCGAGCAATGATATCTTCAATCGAACCACCCACACCTCAGACCAAACGGTGCAAGTGGCGTCGTCCCTGAGTGTAGTAGCCGCATCTGCATCTCAGCTCCCATCGGGGGTGGGCATCACATCGGCAGGGTAGTGTAGGTACCTAAGGTAAGGTGAGGTAGGGTACGACACGGAATGGAGTCTGACTCTGATATTGATACTCCCACGAGACGAGAGGTGTAACTCGGGTTACGCTACGGGGATAGCCTTTCTTTGTGATTGCTTGTCCTTCACGGACATGGGGGTTGATCTGGACGAGGGCCTTTTGTTCATGTCTGTCTGCCCAACATGATGCTGTCTAGGATATAGTTACAGTGGCTTTGAGAAACCAAGCATATAAGCATCATGTTGGTCATGCAAGTACACTATTTGCTTACCACAGTATCAAACCCCAATTGGCGTTATTTGGGTGATGATGTTTACAGGTCAGCACCCACAAGGCACATCGGCTTTAGTCCTGGATGGCGTTTTTTTCTTCGAGGCATACCCGCACACATGAAAAGAGAGAAAAAGGCGACTATTACCTTATCAACCTCCCTCAGCTGGTGAGGATGAAGTATTGAGACGAGACATCCGAGAACTAGATCACTAAGGGTAAAGCGCAAAGATACTGAAGCTGAAAGCTCTCATGACGAGTGGAGAAGGTTCAAGTTTTCTCGTGTAAGTTGGCCATTTGCACCAGAGGGAGAATGTCGCTGACGGGTCCGTCTCGGGCAAGCAGAGCTTGGAAGGGCTAGTTCTTGAGGGGGAGAGGAAAGTTTCATCTGTCACTTCAGCTCGCTTCAGTTGATCTCACTCGCTTATCCCCGCATGTGAAAATACATACCTGATTAACCAAAGAAGCAGTCCAAGGACCACAGTATGAGTACGAATGGGAATATGAGCGAACCAGGGCCATCCATGCCTGTCAACGGCGAGTACCTTTTAGATCCAACGGGCGGGCGTGCTCTAGTTACCAGGTACCATCGAGTCACCAGCCAAGCTCCCCTTCTTGTGCCGTTTGGCTTTGGCTCTGTACAACGGTCTTTACTTGCTTTAAGAGATGTAGTGTCTATGACACCTTGGTCCGTTGAAGCTAGAGCAGCGTCTTTCATGACGTTGAAGGCTTTGAGCTTGTAAGCTAAATAAGTTTGTTCAGTTGTGCCTCTGCAAATTTAACTCCAAACCATCTAAGCGACGTCACTCTTTTCGACTATTTTTATCAACTCTATTGGCTGGGTCTATTCCGCTTTCTTGCATCGGAATGAAATGTCCTTGAGACTCGACTCAGAGAGGCCGACTCAGCGAAAAAGGTCAGAGACAATAACAACAACATTGATAATAAAAGGTCCAGAGAATCGGATTTCCAAAAGAGCCCTTTATTTGCGACATGCGGATTCAACCACAATCCCTTACAAACAAGGGCTCGATAGTTCAATGAGCTTACAGAGCCTAGACCCTTGACCCTTGTAGAGATCGTGATGCAACTGTCCCGTTTAGAGACAAGGGGGGTATGCGCGGGGAACAACAGGATAGGATACTCGGACCCCGTTATCTGACAGAGATCAAAGAGAGACCAAAGAGAAGAGAGGAGACATGCATCAATCCCTACCCAGTCTTTCCAGCTGCTTCTCAGCAAGCCATGAACCGAGTATGCTCCACCATAAGCGGCCAAAACACCAACACCATAGCCACGAGACTCCAGAAACAGCATCCCTGCCCTAAAATCCTAGTGCAAATGATGCAAATCTGCAACTCCAAGGGATACTATTACCACTAGATCCACGATAGTCCCTGAAGCGAACGATACAATCCATCGCTTCGTGCCGTCCCCGAACCGTCGCGCCATTAAACGAGGCCAGCATCGCGACTAACATCAATAATCCAAGACTCGAAAAAAAGCCATATTCCTGAAGAGGCTTGAATCACATCTGTCTTGTGCTGAGATCACCTTTTCTAGGCCTAGTTTCATCGTATAAGAGCGAGAATAGCTAGCCTTGCACGGTCACGTTTTCGATTTCGAGGCTTCGATGTCTCAAATACAGCCAGAAAGGGACGCGCCGCCGTTCCCGATACCAGCTGAAGATCCTAAGGCTGATATTAACAAGACACGCCTCCTCAGCGTCTTGGGCGGTGAGATATGTAATCTGGCGGTTATTCGGCCTCAACTAGTGATGTTCAGTGCATTGTGGAAATTCGGCAGTTGATGAGGCATGGTCGAGAACCGCCTTGCGATGCTGTAGGATGGATGTAGATTAGGGCTGCGAAAGAGGTCCGCTGAGCCCAAACATGGCGGCAAAGACTGCCAATCATTCGCTAATCATCATATCACGGAGCAAATAGTTTCCACCACTATGTGATAGTCATTTCGAACCAAAATCAGCATCGATACCAGGCATCATTGGACATGCAGAAGTCGAGCTCCGAAACATTGCGGATCCTCGCCTTGGAACATGATGCCCGTAAACACATCACCTCTGCATGTATATGAATCAGAGCATGCATTCCAGCCTGAAGAAACGGGGATGTGTTGAGTAAATCCACGAGGGAACACATGGGGCCATGATCTACAGCCAAGGACATGTAAGTCATTTGATCAACGACTATCACCGTGGGTCCAAGGCTTCAATTCGGTGAAAAATCAACGAAACAGATATTTCATACACATATCAAAAAGTCCGGGGCCGTCGTATCATCAGGGATGCAACGGGTAGGCCCGTCCCAAACGCGCCGATCGCCAGCTGCAGTCTCATGCATATCACAGAATTCGTTCCCATTGTTTCGACTACAGAGCCTATCATGATGAACTGTCAAGGTCATGGATGTATGCAATTGTGCTTGTTTGTTCAGATTTGCTTTTGCCTCTGCCGTTGAGATGAAACTCGGTTCTGCACATAAGCATCTTCCAGAAGCCTTATCCTTGTCTTTTCTCTCTCGCCGATCATACCTAGGTGAATACGTTGTGTAACGGCTCGTTGGCAGCCCATCGCTCGATGTTCTCAACCTGTTGCTCATACCACGACTTGATGGTGTCCTCCTCGCAATAGCCCATGTGAGGGGTGACCAGAACCTGACTTGATCCATCGCGACCCCAGTTCTTGTTGCGCCACTCACTGTCGGCGGGGAGAGGTTCCGGCTCAAAGACATCGACAGCTGCGCCTCTGATACGGCCAGCCTTGAGATGATCGAGAAGATCTCTCTCCACGACGAGGGGTCCTCGAGAGGTATTGACAAACAAGGCTGTCGACTTCATCTTTGCCAAGTCCTCTTTGTTGACTATGCCGCGTGTCCTATCAGACAGGACAAGGTGGACAGACACCACGTCGGCAGTTCTGAAGAACTCGTCTCGGCTTACCACTTTGAACGTCTTCTCACCCTCCCCATCCTCAACAGGAAGACCAGCTTCCCTGGCCTTCTCATCTGCCGCCTCCTGTGTGAGGTTGCTACTCCACGCGATAATCTTCATACCCAATGCGACGTTAAGAATCCTCGCGACTGCGCTTCCCAATCTCCCGAGGCCGAGGACACCCAAAGTTTTTCCTGAGAGATCAGTCGCGAGACCGGTCTGCCACAAGCCCTCCTTGACAGCGGCATCATCCCTGGCGATGCCTCGAGCGAGTGAGAGGATGAGAGTAACGCAGTGTTGAGTAGTGCTGCCCGTGCCAGCGAGGACCGGCTTGCCGCTACGGGGCTTATCAACTGTTCCGGCAACTGGGATCCCTCGTTCTTTGAGGGTATCTAGGTCCAGGGATCTGTTGCGAAAGGCTGTGGTGAGGAGAAGTTTCAGTGAAGGGAGTTGTTGGATCAACTCTCGAGGAAAGGGCGTGCGCTCTCTCATCGTGCCTGGGTCGATCAGCCGCTTATTCTCGGGCCTCTCTGATAAGACATGATACTTACAGATAACATCAAAGGGCTTGAATCTCTCAACCAGAGCATCCTTGTTCGATTGTGAGCTGTCCGGGTGGTTGTAAGGCAGCAACGTATCCTTGATAGACACGACTTCATACTTGGATGGGTCGAGTTTCTTGAAGAAGGGGTCAGCAACTCCTTGGTAGTCGTCCAGAATTGCCACTTTAGTTGGAGCCATTGTTGGAGCTGCAATAGGTTTCGTGGTTATGGTGATACAGCTGTAGCTGTGTTGGTGTATGAGGTAAATGGAGAGGTAAGCAGTGTAAGTAGTTGTATTATAGACACTGTGCCAGGCGGTTGCTTCTGAGCAAGAATGTCGGTTTAATTCTTGGAAGGGGCCGCTATTAATTCACCTTCCAGGTGTTATTCGTGAAGATATTCTAGAGTTTTAAACGGAAGGTTGTGACGTTGATTGGGTAAGGTATGAAATGTCGCGAGGTGGCTAAGTCCTCTGCCGGATGCCGATCCGATTTCGCAATAGCTCTCCCGGAAACTATTCTCGGCAGACCAAGGCCAAGCAAGCTTCAGCGTCTAGTTAGTTACTACCTTGTTGGTGAACAAAATGAATTACATGATCATGCAAATTACCAATCTATTATTGTATTTCAAATCTGACAAATCAAAACTTACCACTCTCAATAACACAGGATTAATAACTATCTTACATTTTGCTGGGCATTCTCATAGCACCATCCAACCTAATAACAACACCGTTCAACATGACATTCTCAATTCCCTGTCGCGCCAATTGCGCAAACTCCTTGGGTTGACCAGCTCTCTTGGGAAACTCCATCGCGCCCTCGAGACTCTTCTTGACCTTCTCAGGCATCACGCTTGTCATTCGGCTGTCGAATAGACTGGGCGCAATGGTCACGACGCGGATGCCATATCGAGCAAGATCTCGTGCCATGGGAAGTGTCATGGCTGTTACGGCGCCTTTACTGGCAGAATAAGAGACCTGACCCTTTTGACCATCAAAAGCTGCTGATGAAGCTACCATGATGACAACACCTCGCTCACCGTCAGATCCCTCGGGCTCTACCTTGGCAAGGTGCTCGAGAGTCTGACGCACGAGGTCGATTGTGCCGCGAAGGTTGACGTTGATCACAAAGTCAAAGTCATCGAGACTAAATGCAGCACCATTGCGGTCGAGCATCTAGTTATTCAGTTAGCTGTGTTCTCACCCACTCAGTCACAAATTCGAAGAGTCTTACCGTTGCAGGAGTTGATACACCAGCTGCGGCAATCACACCTGCAAGAGGCTTCCCCGTCTCTTTAGCCCATTGTGCAGCACCTTGAACAGCCTTGGTAACACTCTCTGTCTCCAACACATTGCATTCAAAGAATTTGGCCGATGAACCCAATTTCTTGACCAGGTCTTGACCGTTCTCCTCGTTCATGTCGAGAATGGCCACATTGCCGCCATTGGCGCATATCTCTTCAACGCATGCCTGGCCCAGGCCGGAAGCACTGTATCTCAGTCAGCGACATGTGAAAGAGTGAGTGTTTTGATGTGGCTCTGCCTACCCTCCGGAGATGACAAATGTTCGATCTTGGATCTTCATGATGACTTTTGAATGTATGAATTGTATAAAGTATGAAAGGAACGGAGGAATGAACTGGTATCGAACTGACCTGGAGATGTCATTCATTCTCGGCCATTTAAATTAAGCACACGTGGGGAATCCGGGGGTGGCTGACCCGAACGTGCCTCGGCAACTGGCAATTCATATTTGATGGGTCTTTGCATATTACGATATGGTGTTCAGACACAGCGAGAAATGGGCAATACCAGGGTACCTAAGAGCTTGTATGGGAGATTTCATTCTGTAACAGAAGATGCGTTTAAATTGGCACAGTATACGCATGCGAAATAGACAATGAAGCGAATTACATATGATGTGACGGTGCAGAGTAGGTGGTCTAAGGTAAGTACCTAGGGCATGATGCTGATTTCAAATTCAACATTGACTTGATTTATTGCTAATCGCGCGAATGCAGAATGTAGCATCATGAGGGAGTTTTCTTGTACAATGAATCAATTATAAGCTTGTAAAGAGTGTCTTTCTTAGGGAAGGCTGTGTTGAAATGGGCCAGTATCAGAGCTGAAGGCCAGGACAATACACCGGGCCAAATTTCTTTACATACTCAACAGCTGCCAACAAATCTCCCTCCAAGGCCTCAAACAGACTCGGAGCATCTGGAAAGTAGTTCAAGATCTCGCGCGCTCGATGGGACCTGGCGCGCGTGTTGCAAGCCCATGTATAGACGCCCATGGGCTCCCAGCTCGAGCCACCACGCATCTCCCTTACCGTCTCAACACTCAGTCCTTTCGGCTCAGACACTGGAACGAGCCCATGGGAGTGGAGGATCTCACCTGCCCGCTGAGCCAGCTCACGTTGCGAGACTTCTTGGCTAGTGACAAAATAGTAGCCCTATGGAGACGAGACCTGATATCAGCAAACGCTTGACAAGGAGGGGGCACATTCGTTACCTCTTTACCCCAAATTGCGCCCTCGCCGCCTGAAACAGCTGCCTCAACGAGTTTGAGATACACCTTCGTGAGGTCGTCGATATGCACCCACGACCTTCTGTTCTCACCTGACCCTGCGTAGAACCCATGTCCTAGCTCTATCATGTTCTCGCACATTTCAGGCAAGAGGAGGCTGCGCGTGTTTCCTAGCCCGCGGCCTGGGCCATATATTCCTGATGGACATATGATTGCTGTCTTGAGCCGCTCTCCATGCATTGCCGCTGCGGTTTGCAGGATCTTGTCAGCAGGACGATGCAAATTGTCCTCGGGAAGACTGGTGATGGTATCTATGTCATCCAAATCGGACCATATCTTTGGGTTGAGTTCCCCATATGGCCCGGTTTTCCAGTCAGCTATGATACCTGTACCAGCAAGACGGATCAAGAAGCCGGGACCTGGAAGAGTCGCAGGTCGGCGAAGAAGACCGGCAATTAGTGCCTCAAGGCTTGGGATATGCTTAGGCTTGCCTCCATCTAGTATTTTGTTAGTGGAATGTTCTCCAAAGACACGTGTGAAGATGTTTAAGCCGTACGGATTACAACGTCATTCATGGCCGCAGTGTTCGAGATCAGCTGAGTGTCATCGAAGCTTCCACGGATAATGCCAACATTGGGATATCGGTCGACGAATGTGTCAGGAATGTTACGTAGAAGGACTGTGATCTTATACTCCGGATGATGGGTTACGAGAGTATCAAGGACAGTGCCGCCTATATAACCCGTGGCCGCGGTGCTGTAGAGCATCCAGTCAGTAAGTCATTGTGGCTAACACCATGTTAGACATGAAGACATGGAAGTTTCTGCATACAGGAAAATATTCAGGCCCATATTGTTCGCTATCTCTGCACTTAATTCAAACTAAGGTATGAGGAAGCTCTTGCTGAAAGGAGGAAGGATAAGGAGAAAGAACCTAAACTGCAGAGTAGTTTCGAGGAGGCTTAGGGAAATATAGGACGAACAGCGTAGGCTTTGGTGATCGAAACAAGGCTTCCATGAGCCAGTTATCCAAGTTGCATGCCACACATCACCCCTTCTCGTATTCGCCAAGTGGCAGCGCAGTGGTGTGAAGCTCGCGTATGCAAGTATGAGCGATAAATGCGAGTAGAGTAGGAAGCTGAATGCAAGAGGTTCTTTCGAGGGCCTTATAAGCGATGCAAGTGATGATATGATTACTCGATGTGACTCTGGGGCTGTTGGTGAAAGTGCACTTCTTGTCACTTTGGAGTTATCATTTCTGGGAGTCAAAACGTTGCAGCTTAATGCGGTTCCCGGCTCACTCGCCATCTCATCAGATACTCAGTAGGAACAGTATAGGGATTGATTTCGCCTAAACCTTAGATGCGATGTTTGGCAGAAACACAATTCGCAAACAAAGAGCCATCGCAGAGCAGAGCCTTGCCACTCCTACCCCTCCTCTTTAAACACAAAGAGTGGTTGCCGTAGTGTCTGTCTGAAGTGGCCCCTTATAGGAGCGCATGAGGATTGCTACAGTACATATTCCAGGGATGGAGGCTCACCGCACTCAATAAAGAATACACTGCATGTGTGAATTTCTGATGCCCTCTAAGATCCCATATTCGCGCCAAGACCTTCACGCCGAGTTACACAAAAACCTCCAGGCTGGGCTGCACGGAGACGACCCCTCTTCGGAGCATTGTGTAACCATACTACAGACATAGTTGCAACCAAAACTCCATGAAGGCGAGGCTGTGGCCATGGTCGGCTCTGAGTTATCATATCATGAAAATACAGATAGGCATTCAGCATGGCTTGACTCTAGGCCAGTATAGTAAATCTGGGGAACTTATAAACACCATGCTATCTTCCGATCAACTCCCACTACTTCACTACCCCAGTGTCCCATTATTGCCTATCTCACAAAGTTCCTCTGTCACCTAGCTCCCAGAATAATTAACAGGCTCATCGTATCGATGTCTGATCTTGCGGAAACCAACTCCCAGATACCTCCCGCCACAGCCTACCCCGAGGCCGGCCTACCCGAGAACATCAACCTGGAAGATGTTCCAGCTGGATGGGCCAAGTCTTTTGAGAAATTGATCCATAGTCAGGATCCTGCTTTGGCAGACGATGCCTTTATCCAAGAATCCTTCTGGCGTGACCATTTGTGCTTTTCGTGGGATTTCCACACATTGCATGGCCACAGAGAAGTGATCTCGTTTCTAAAGAGGCAAAGACAGGACTTCTTACTCCAGCGGATATCCGTTGACATGGATTGCCCCGATAAGAAGGCCAAGCTAGCAGCAGTTGACCACAATGGCAAAGTCAGAGGCATACAGTTTTACATCGACATCGAGACATCTTGCGGCATTGGCAAGGGTCTTATTAGGATGCTTTACGAGCTTAAATCCCGAAAGTGGAAGGCATTCACCGTGTACACAGCTCTGCGTGAAATTCGTGGCCACGAAGAAACCGTCAAGAATAAACGGGTAACAGGGCTTTTGTACAAGCGTTCCGGAGCAAGCATTGCGTTTGACGCCTGGCAATCGATCAAGGCAGCACCAAAGGACGACTTTGCAGACAGTATGGAGCCGACAGTTTTGATTATTGGTAAGTAAATATTCAATAATTGTAGCTGAACTTGTCACACCTTTGTCTAAGTACGTGTCCATATGAGACTGACTCAATCGATCAGGATCCGGCCAGGCTGGCCTTGCTTGCGGTGCTCGCCTTCTGCAACTCGGTATTCAGTGCTTGATTATAGACCGGAATTCCGAAGTAGGAGACAACTGGCGTAACCGATATAGTCGTCTTGTGCTTCACGATCCTGTCTGGTGTAAGCAAAGCCCATTAATGCACTGCGAACTTTAGAGGCGACGAACTAACCAACCTACTAGACAATCATATGCCCTACTTGCCATTTCCTAGTAACTGGCCAATCTTTGCACCTCGGGAAAAGCTTGCAGCATGGATGCAGGCCTATGCCCGAATTATGGACTTGAGTGTATTGACCTCAACAACAGTCCTGAGAGCAGAATGGGAGGGCGCATATTGGAACGTAACACTTGAACGGAAGACCCAAGATGGGCCCAGGAAGATGCGACAACTCCGCCCTCGCCACATCATACAAGCCACGGGCGTGAACGGCGAACCCAAAATCCCCAAGGTAGAAGGTATGGCCACCTTCCAGGGCCGTGTTTGCCATTCGTCCCAGTTCTCGAGCGCTCAACCGACGGCGACAACAGGGAAACACGCAGTGGTAGTCGGCACTGGTGTTTCAGGTCACGACATTGCTCAAGAGTTCTCTGAATGTGGCTACGATGTGACGATGATCCAGAGGTCCCCAACATGCGTCGACCCGAGCGATTACGTCCATGGTCAGGGTCTATACTCAGAGGATGGCCCGCCAACGGACGATGCAGACTTCCTCACACACAGCGTTCCGTTTCCACTACTCAAGAGAAGAGAGATCGAGAAGACAGACCAAGTTATGCTACAGAACAAAGAGTATTTTGATTCTCTGGAGAAGGTAGGCTTCAGAGTCGACAGGGGCCCCGATGGCGGTGGGTAAGTCTTCCATTATTGCAGCATGAACGGGCGAGTCTCAACTGACTGACTCAAAATGCTCAGGCGAAAGCTCAAGTTCTTGCAGTACGCCGGCGGGTCTTATATCGACGTTGGCGCCTCTAAACTCGTCATTGATGGCAAGATTCAGATAAAGCAAGGTATCGTGGCCATGATCAAGCCACACTCTTTGATATTGGATAGTGGGATCGAGCTGCCTGCTGATGAGATAGTCTTTGCCACTGGCTACACAAGTATGCTGGAGACCACAAAAGAAATCATGGGCGCTGAGTTTTCCAGCCATCTGCAGGAGGTTTGGGGCATTGACAAGGAGGGGGAGCTTCGTTCAGTTTGGCGGCGTTCTGGACATCCAGGCTATTGGTTTGCTGGGGGCAATCTCGCTCTTTGCCGATATTTCTCTAAACTATTGGCACTGCAAATCAAGGCAGTCGACCAGGGTATGATGCGTTACAGTCACTAGTTAGGAGATACAGGACATTATTACATAGTACTCCGTAGTTAGGTAGTTTTGCTAGGGTGAGCACATAACTAAGGTACCCAGAACCGAGGTCTAAGTTAGTGTGTACCTACATCTTTTATAAGTTGAGTAGAGTGAACCAATTACTTCCCCCGCGGACCTTTTACTCACCACTTTCAGGCACCTCCCGTGCCCTAGTAGCACGAATGGCTTATTTAGGTTCTCTAGTGGGCAACATCGCTCCGTCATACCTTAACTCAACTACTTATTCAACGATTCTGCCATGATCAATTGCTAGCCTCTAGCATCACTTCTCAACCCAAGGACCTACTGTAGATACTAAGTCTAAGAGATGATATAATAATGGCCTTACGTGTTTTCCCCCTCCTTCGTTCTGTTTCTAAAGTCTAATTGTCATTCGTGTTACATATGGTACATAACAAGGTATGGGTCAGCCTCAGACATAACAATGTGTCTTAAGCGACCTGTCACACGAAGCGCACATCTCATCCCTCACAATGTACGGATAAGCTGGCTGGCTTTATTTTTCAGCTGTCTGTAGGACCGAATAAACGCAGTGCAGGCTCGCGGGCGTACATATTAACTTCGAACACGATAGCCACCGTACATATTCACCGACCCAAGCTGTGTCTGAAGCTGACGCCAGCAGCCTAATATCAATCAGCCTAACATGGATGCAGTGCATTTGAGAGTCTTCCCCCGTAGTTTATAGCCTATCATACATGAGTTAAGGATAATCTATGACAGGTAACAAACCTTCTCAGACCTGCAGAAGCCCGCTCGCGAATTAAAGCCAATTGTTAAGTCCCTAGGTAGGTTCGGTACGTAGAACGCAGGGTTTGTTCCGAAACCCGGCCTGGGCTTGAGTCACCGACAAATGTGGGAAAACACAAGCGCCACCAGGCGTTGATCAGTGAAGTACGTAGGTAGGTAGCAAAAGTCTTCCCCCTCCCACTATTTTCCTTCACAACAAAATCAAGAAAAGCAGACAACATCAGCGAGCAACACGACACATAGTTCGGGAACAGCAAAATCTTGATGCTAAAGCAGACACAATGCAGTCAGCCAACAACCCCATCTCCCACCATACCAGCCACACCATGGGCCAAGGTGCCGCCAGTAGCAACGGCGGCGACAATAGCTGCGGAGCGAATTGCGTGGATAACCATGTTGCCCATGCAATTGGCGATGGAGATGGGGTTGTCCGAGTCTCGGGTGGAGAGACTGGTAAGCTTCTATGTGATAGACAATGTTGGTTCCTTGCTAATGCCTCATAGGAAACGATGGAGGCCTCGTCATGGAAGCCTCCGTAACGGATGTTGGTGTCAGCAAATTGAACCAAACTACTACTACCAACTATGAATCAGACGATGAAGGCTCTGTTGCGGACAGTCTCGGCTCCATTAGCGATGGGCCCAGCTTTGGAGGAACTTCGATCCGATCCCTGGGTAACATGTCCAACTGGAGCATCATCGACACTACTCTGCGTGAGGGCGAGCAGTTCATCCATGGCGATTACAACACTGAGACTAAGCTCAAGATTGCTCGAGCTTTGGATGCCATCGGTGTTGAATACGTGAGTCTGTTGAATAAGCAGACAATTGATCTCAACTAACACATGATCTAGATCGAAGTGACCTCACCTGCTGCTTCTCCTCAGTCCAAGTTGGACTGCGCGGCTATCTGCAAGCTGGGTCTCAAGGCCAAGGTTCTTTGCCATATTCGATGCAACATGGACGATGCCAGAATCGCAGTTGAGACCGGCGTCGACGGAATGTATGTCGATTCATCAATTCAAACTCATGTAATTCTCACATTCAACTAACACTCTTATCACAGCAACATGTGCATCGGTACTTCCACTCAGCTCATGACGCATTCCCACGGAAAGAATCTTGACTGGATCGCCGCCAAGGCCACGGAGGTCATCGAATTCACCCAAGCTCACGGCATTGAAGTCCGATTCTCCGGCGAGGACTCGTTCCGCTCCGACTTCAGTGAGATTCTGAAGCTCTACTCGCTCATGGACCGTCTCGGCGCCCATCGCGTTGGAATCGCCGACACCGTTGGCGGCGCTACTCCTCGCGAGGTCTATGAAAAGATCTCCACGCTCAGGCAGATAATCGGATGTGATATCGAGACTCACTTCCACAACGACACCGGGTGTGCCGTCGCCAACGCCTACACTGCGATTGAGGCTGGGGCCACTCACATCGACACCACTGTCCTGGGCATCGGAGAGAGGAATGGAATCACTTCCCTTTCCAAGCTCTTGCAGTGCATGCTTCACATGGGCCATGATTCTGTTCTGGCCAAGTACAAGCTTGAGAAGATCCCTGCTCTCGAACAGCTCGTCGCTGAAGCCGTTCGCATCGAGATCCCCTGGAACAACGCTTCACTTGCAGCATATCTCTGAACGTAACAATTCAGAGATCGCCCTGCAGGGCTAGAGCCAGACGGCTCAACCTACCTTTCTATACTGCTAAGCTTGGTGTGAGGAGAGTATCAAGTAGTACTCAAATAGTAAGAGAAACAAAGTGTTTCGTGCGAACTTTTCAGAACTGGCCGTGATTTGATTGTGTGTCGTCTGTGCGAAAGAGCTTGATAACCATCGGCCTACGTAGTGCTCTTTGATTCAAAACCGGGCTCGAGACAATATTAAGCTTTGAAACAACACTGAATCTCTGAGACAAATGCCGCATTGTAAATTATGTAGACATGATGCACCGCAAGTCGCAAGCCAAGGCCTAGGCGAAGACGCATATGGTGTGTATCAGTAGAAAAATCAGAGATTTCATGGCCCCAGAACCCCAGATTTTGCATCTCTACCGATCGGCAAATACATTTATCTGTAGCCAATTATCTTATCCCAAGAATCCAAGCAGTGACAACGATCCACTCGAGCTCAGGCGGTGTTATCGGGCTCCCATTTACGGATACCTCGTCACGTTATCATCACCTAATGACGCTATCTCCCGTTAGAGCTTGAGGACTCCAGCTACGTAAGGTATGTATTTACAGGGCGACCCACCCTCGCTCTCACCGAGCAGACAGAACAGGGCATGTAAACATCCATTCCATCCATGTCCAGGGATCGATCGCATTGCATCGTCTTTTCTTGCCAATTTTAACGGCTACAAAAACAAGAACAAGGACATCCTACTCCTCCTCTATATCCTACCTACCACCGACAACAACTCTCCCTATCTACTCGACTTGGCTTCCTAAATACCTACTATCGCGATAACCAACCGAGAGCCAAGACATGCGATATCGTCCGACCGCCTAAAATATATCCGCCATTATTTTTCACCGTCTCGTCATTTGCCCGCAATGACCAGGCCTCGCCGGCACTCCGGCGCGAGCGAGGAGAGCTCGGGTACGGCTCGGGAGCAGGTAGGCCAGAGGAACATCGTTGTCGACGTGATACCAAGCGGCTGACCATGATAAGGAGCTAGGGAGCATGTACGATTACCTGGCCAAGATTATATTGCTTGGGCCCAGCGGAACTGGAAAGTACGTCATTATCGAGGCATTTGGCGAGTAAGCGAGCGATCGCAAACTTTCTCTCGCGACAAAGGCGCTTTTACACCAGAGTCTTTGACTGACTGTCTTGTGCCTTTATAGGTCCTGCCTACTACATCGTTTTGTCAAAAATGAGTGGAGAGTCTTGTCGTCGCAGACCATCGGCGTAGAGTTTGCTACAAAGATCATCAAAGTTGGTACCGGGTCAAGGCGGAAACGGATAAAGCTTCAGGTACATTACACTCGATCGCGCGACAAAGAACGCATGTTAACAGGATCTAGCTCTGGGATACGGCGGGAACAGAGCGTTTTCGATCAGTCTCTCGCTCCTATTATCGAGGCGCCGCGGGCGCTATCCTCGTCTACGACCTCACTTCTCACGCATCCTTCCGAAACGTACAACCTTTCCTAAATGATGCTCGAGCGCTTGCGTCACCGAACCTGAGCCTTATGCTCGTAGGCAACAAACTCGATCTTACCGATACACTCGTCGACACAAGTCTTCCGCCCCCGACACCAACGAGCGTCACATCCAACTCCACTCTCACATCTGGAATGCTCGGCGCTGGAGGTAGCTCTTATACAAGTACAGCCACGACTAGAGATCGCGGAGCGTCCATAAGCGCAGGAAGTCAACAAAGAGCTACAGTCGCACCAGAAGGCAGAGAAGTTACGCGAGCGGAATCCAGTCGATGGGCTAGCACAGCAGGAATATCGGTGGTGACAGAAGCGAGCGCATTCAACGGCGAGGGCGTCGACGAGATCTTCGAAAGGCTAGCAAGAATAATTCTCACAAAGATTGAATTGGGAGAAATCGACCCTGATGACCCAGCGAGTGGGATCCAGTATGGCGACAGCGGTGGATGGAACACAGCTAGTGACGGAGGCAGTATCAAGAGTTCTATGACGGGCGCCACGGTGGAAGATGGGCATAGCGGACTGAGAAGGAGGAGGAAAAAGAACAGGACGCAGAACTGGGGACTACGGGAGTGGGAAGAGGTGTTTACACTGAGCAATCGACGTAGAGGAGGTGGTTGTTGTTGATTGTTCAAGTTACTTTTTACCCTTTTCCCGCTTGGAGCTCCTCGTAATGGATTGGCAGTGTTTGAAGATATCCGGTTTCATGGTTAGACCGGTAGTGTTTAGGAAGACATTCGTTCATCAGCGTGTTCGGCGTTTGGATAGACGAGATGGGGCTGCGGACTGCACACGACTAAGCGAGTTTGCGAGCAGTACTTGAGTCCGAATAATGTACTTAGTAATGACAACCCTTTCTTGAAGACTTTGAGAAGATACCATCCGTCTAAATGGCTGTTCGGTGTCAGTAATAGTTACTCTATTCTTCAGAAGCAATCAGTGAGGGCCAACACCGTCTATACCAAGACTGGATGGATGTAAGTGGCTGTCTAATGTTGATCTTGAATAAAGGGCTGACGTCAAATTCACAAGTTAAGCTG